CTATAACAGAGCCAAACATACAGGGCAGCAGTAGCACAAGCACACAGTACCATGTCGGGTACAGCCCATGAGCTCACATGAACATTGAACTAAAGTTGTAAGACATTAATAAAATGCAGACCCCAAAGAGGCGTTCAATTGTGGGAGAGTTTCTGACATCGAGATGTACAGTCATAGCCAGCAAGACACTATTAAATATATAATCTGATGTGCTCTTATTATGATGAACATAGCCATGCGCTGGATGAATCTCTTTCACGGGCTGCGTCCGATTCGCGCATTGTTGACGATTGTTTTTCTTGTCCCGATTTTCGTTGAAAAGGTGCCAATATCTCCATCGGCCAACGATGGGCCAAGTCGTCGGGAGTTCCGTCAATAAGTAAATACGCCCCGAAACATTTAAATTAGGTGACTACATTAATGTGCGTGCAATTGACATCTGAATCAAGTGTCAAAATATTTGTGTTTGGTCATAAAATAAAGCTGTGATATTTAACTTGTTTTCTTCCCCAAGGAGCACCAATGCAAGACTATTTGTAATATAGCCAGAAACTAAATCTGGTATTGATGGACTTGTTATTTCAAAGGGTATACATCTGGGTTCAATGTGTGGTCCCCTCCTCTTTGATTTATAACATGTCAAATGTACCAGTATATCGTGTTTGTTGGGTACATTTGTTAATGTGGCTTTTTGCCGATGACCCCAGCGTAAACGACACTCGACACATTCGTCGATAACACTGGTTTAAGAGGAACAGGCCACTTTTTAGGCATTGGCTCTTCGTCACAGCACACGAACAGAGAGCCACCAGCACAACTGTCAATTCTCTTGAATGACGTCAAAGTTATCTCTAATATAAATTTAACAGAAATCTAAAATCTTTGGCAATTCTTTAGTCTGACGCACAAACTGAACTACGTTCACATGTTTGTGCACTTCCAGTCCCCCCTACAACTGAAGACCTCTTTCACATTTCGCCGCAACATAAAGCAGAACACTTAACGTATGCTAAGTAAAACACAAGTAGAAATTGTAGCGCTCGCACATAAGTTTCGTTAACGATGGCTTACATTACTCAAGGGGTAAAGACATTTGTCACACTGCATTGCAAAATCCATATTTTTTGCCAACAAAAAAAATAAGTTTTTTTTGCCAACAAAAAAAATAAGATTTTTTTACATTTCTTCCTTTGATTAATCTGCAAAGTCATCTTTCAACTTCCACCCTTTGAGTTTTGAATAAAGCCATCTGAACGGTGAATTTAACAGAAATTATTTAACAATGGCGAGCTGTACGTTATATACATGCGGCTACGGCAACCGGAATTTGAAATTACAATTTTCTGTGGCGAACAAAGCCTCTCTTGGCTCAATTCACCTTCACTTTAATTGCCAGTGCAAACATTTGCAGCGAAAGGTAGCAGTAGAATTATGTGCCATGTAAATGATTGACCTTCTACACCAATAATCATTACTACATTCGCTTGTTCACAAAAATGTGCAACTATACACTGTGTAACAAACAAAAATTTGTTCATAATAAAGGTTTTTGGGTTAGATCGCGTTATTTATAAATGTGTCGTAACCCTCCACCACCCGACACGGCCAATCAGCAAAAAAAGTGTCACGTTGAAAAAAGACAAAGTTCACTACTTTAGCCCACCGGTGTGTTGAAGAGTGAATCCACATTTACAGTTTGAGTACTACGTGTAAAAAATGTTTCTGGGTAGTAAGTGTTATTTCCTAATTGCTTATGCCTCAAAAGTACAGAAAATGGCTATTATTCCCCACAAACTTTGCTTTTGTGACCAGGTCAGTGATATTTTTAAATTTACCTATTTTCAATGAGACAACGCAGTGTGCATTTTGTGTCTTTCGTTCACATAAAGTCCTGGTCACAAAAGCAAAGTCATTGTGGGGAATAATATCCATTTTAAATAACACAATAATATTCTCACGACGTTTCGGCCACAACACAAGCGGCCTTCATCAGGTGAAGGGGACGAGACTGTCTGGAGGACAGCACTGTCCTCCAGTCTCGTGGCCGAAACGTCGTGAGAATATTATTGTTATTTTATTTTATCAATTTATTATTTTATTCTCATTCTACGTGACTTTACCGAAAAAAAACAAAGAAGATGAATCCTTGCAGTCACGAAAGCTTTAAATCGAAATCCATTTTAAACTTTATTTGAAGCTTTCGTGACTGCAGGAATTACCCTTTTGGTTCTTTCGGTAAGGTCCCGTAGAAAGAAATTTAATCAAATAATAGAGTACGACGTTTCGATTGCAACACAAGCAACCGTCATCAAAGAGTAAGAGACATTTTCTATACTTTTCAGGCATAAGCAATTAAAAAAATAACACTTAGTGCCCAGTAACAAAAATTGTGTTACATAGTGTTGTGTCGATAATATTTGAATACCTCAGTGGGCTTTGCCTGGTAGGATGGGGATGGTTTAGTTTTATTTGTACGTTTGGGTGATTTGTTTATATTTCTTGTACTTTGCACTATCATAGTTTTGTATTGTTTGTTGTTGTAAACGTTTTTATCCCCCCCCCCCCCCCCCCCCCCACTGGACATCTGTGAAATAGCTTTATAGCTCATCGGATTCCTGCAGAATATTCTGATTCTGAATGGAAAGCCCTTGATCAGATTTCATGAATTCATATAGACTTGCGATCAGGAACTGAAGTTTACAGACCATCCATTGATTGGTCTGAATTCTCTTGCAAAACTCCGCTCATCAATTTGCTCACGTTTAGTGCTGAACCGCTCACACTGGCAATTAACTATCACCGGCTGCATTTTGAATTTGCCTTTTCAGAGTATTTGGTGTAAATGTCAATCCGGCTTGCCGCAGGTAGCAATTAAGTGCTTTGTTGTTGTGTTTTAAATTAATCTTAAATCTACAGCATTACATTCACAAACGTCAAAAACCGTACCGACTGGCCATGCCAAGAGATCGAGTCGAGCAGACGTTGCTGGCTGGAACCCGGAGGAGACGATGACTAGAAGTGAATCGCTAAATTGGTCTCCTAGCGGGAAGGCCACAATGTTCAGAGATGTTCAAAGCCAGGGATCAACAACTCCAAAAAACTCCAAAGGAGACACAAAGGATCTCGCCACCTCTCGTTACCGCTGTTCTACAACAAATGCAGCACATTACAGGCAGTGGCTCTTCTCTGCTCAAAGGTGGCAACCAGGCTTGTAACAAGTCAAAAACCAGAACACACCCCCGGAGATTCGATAATCACATTTCGAGGTCACGATCCGATTCCAGAATCGTTCTTTTTTCGTCTCATTTTTAACGTCGTGTTTGTATTGTTTATACAGTGAGGGAAAAAAAGTATTTGAGCCCCTGCTGATATTGTACGTTTGCCCACTGACAAAGAAATGATCAGTCTATAATTTAATGGTAGGTTTATTTGAACAGTGAGAGACAGAATAACAAAATCCAGAAAAACCCATGTCAAAAATGTTAAAAATTGATTTGCATTTTAATGAGAGAAATAAGTATTTGACCCCCTCTCAATCAGAAAGATTTCTGGCTCCCAGGTGTATTTTATACAGGTAACGAGCTGAGATTAGGAGCACACTCTTAAAGGGAATGCTCCTAATCTCAGCTTGTTACCTGTATAAAAGACACCTGTCCACAGAAGCAATCAATCAGATTCCAAACTCTCCACCATGACCAAGACCAAAGAGCTCTCCAAGGATGTCAGGGACAAGATTGTAGACCTACACAAGGCTGGAATGGGCTACAAGACCATTGGCAAGCAGCTTGGTGAGAAGGTGACACCAGTTGGTGCGATTATTCGCAAATGGAAGAAACACAAAAGAATTGTCAATCTCCCTCGGCCTGGGGCTCCATGCAAGATCTCACCTCGTGGAGTTGCAATGATCATGAGAACGGTGAGGAATCAGCCCAGAACTACACGGGAGGACCTTGTCAATGATCCCAAGGCAGCTGGGATCATAGTCACCAAGAAAACAATTGGTAGCACACTACGCCGTGAAGGACTGAAATCCTGCAGTGCCCGCAAGGTCCCCCTGCTCAAGAAAGCACATATACATGCCCGTCTGAAGTTTGCCAATGAACATCTGAATGATTCAGAGGACAACTGGGTGAAAGTGTTGTGGTCAGATGTGACCAAAATGGAGCTCTTTGGCATCAACTCAACTCGCCGTGTTTGGAGGAGGAGGAATGCTGCCTATGACCCCAAGAACACCATCCCCATCAAAGGCAAGGGACGACGGATGGGGCCATGTACCGTCAAATCTTGGGTGAGAACCTCCTTCCCTCAGCCAGGGCATTGAAAATGGGTCGTAGATTGGTATTCCTGCATGACAATGACCCAAAACACACGACCAAGGCAACAAAGGAAGAAGAAGCACATTAAGGTCCTGGAGTGGCCTAGCCAGTCTCCAGACCTTAATCCCATAGAAAATCTGTGGAGGGAGCTGAAGGTTCGAGTTGCCAAACGTCAGCCTCGAAACCTTAATGACTTGGAGAAGATCTGCAAAGAGGAGTGGGACAAAATCCCTCCTGAGATGTGTGCAAACCTGGTGGCCAACTACAAGAAACTTCTGACCTCTGTGATTGCCAACAAGGGTTTTGCCACCAAGTACTAAGTCATGTTTTGCAGAGGGGTCAAATACTTATTTCCCTGATTAAAATGCAAATCAATTTATAACATTTTTGATGCGTTTTTCTGGATTTTTTTGTTGTTATTCTGTCTCTCACTGTTCAAATAAACCTACCATTAAAATTATAAACTGATCATTTCTTTGTCAGTGGGCAAACGTACAAAATCAGCAGGGGATCAAATACTTTTTCCCCTCACTGTATACATTTTTTCTAGTTTCATACACTTCCAAGCTTTCATTTGCATATAATTTGCTTAAGTTGTAAATAATCGATTCTCACATGCATGATTCACTGCATGTGTAGCAAGACGAAAAATCATTACGAATGGATGCGTCGATGTATTGTTACTTGTCTAATGATGAAACCTGTTTTCATCCGAAACTAATCTGCCTTCTGTTAAGCAATAACTTCACCAGCGCCCCCTAAAACAATGGTCTCGCTCACTAAACAATGTATGAGTGTGGAAAGATGTTCACAAGTTTTCATTTTTAGATGTTTTTTTAAATGTAATATTCGCTTTGGATATGCTGTTCACTATTACTTTAATTTATGTGTGCCCTCTATGGTTTCTGTCATATAATTGGGCCGGTGGGAAGCTTGCAATTATGCACTTGTTGCGTAAAGGGAGTTCTCAGAATCATGGCTCAACAAAACATTCTACGCAGCATGACAACGGAAAAAATGAGTCTTTTGATTTCACCGCAGATAGCGCAAATATAATCAAGGTGCTTCACCTGCAGCCGCACTGCATTCCCCTTTAAGCCTAACTTGACATTAACCTTTACAAGGGATCAAACAAGCAACCGGGCTACTGGCCAATCACTGTTTGCCTGCCCTGAACGAAGTTTGCAATTGGTTGGTAGATTCCTGGCGGGTGGCGATTATGAGAAAAATCAGATATCGGGGTTAAACGCAAGTGCAATTCAACTGAATTGACAAAGCAAAAGTATTCTGTGGCAGCTGTATAGGTCAAGATGTGCAATTCAAACACATGGGAGTCGACTACATAGGTGGGCAGTGTTGGTTGACTCCAGGTCAGTGCATTCCATGTTGGGAGTAACACAACAGCCTCACGGCGATTGAAAGCTACACGATTGTAGGTGCCAATCCAGTGAAATCCATGGCAGGTTTGGACAGCAATCTCACACGGGTCAATAATCTTTTGCTGGGCAAGGGCCACGCAAGCAAAGCAGAAGGGGAAGGGTCGGAGTAAGAGGTCGGTCTAGATGAGTCAACTTGTCTGGACTGAATGTTACCTTTACACCAGGCAGATACATTTATAAATTATGAAAAATAATAATAGGTTTTACCCTTTCTGGCAATAAAAACAGGTGTTAAGATATTCAAACGCCAAACAGATACTTTTTTTTATACTGGCAAAAAGGTCCCATCGACAGGTACATGATACTCTTGTAGAATGTGATAGATATTTTGGAGAGGCAATTTTACCACCAAAGCAACCCACTCAGACCTTCTCTCACAAGGTCTCAGGATGTTACGTTCAGATTACATTTCCTTTTGAGTCATATATAATTTTAACAATCACAATCAATTTATGTAGGGAGCTTTCAAAGTTTTAAATTTTCTACTCAATATTTAACCTTTTTGTTTGCAGTAATTCCTTTCGGGTCTTTTGAACACCCAATAATATTTTCCTAAATGTACTCTGTATATTTCACAGCAATCATTTAAAATTGCTAAAGAATTTGTACAAATGTGTGGTAAGACTCAATGAAAATGGGGTAAGTTCTTTCACAGCCCTCCCATGCTTAACAAACTATACAAATAAATCAGGTTATAATAATGATATACTTATCCAGAAAAGACCAAGACTCAAGACATTTGGGATAAGACAAGTATGAACACTTAACCTCAAAACTAATTTTTTAAAGAACATGTGAAGACGCTATGTCTCCATAACATCTACGCAGTGGTGACGTGACAGATCTGTTGCCGCCCTGGTTTGTAAACCACGACCTCTTAATTCAAGACACGTGACCCTATACCACTCCCCTCCTGCAGGCTGGGTATACACTCTTGAGGGGGTGGGGCGTTCTCTTAAAGGGGCCCCTCCGAGAAGGCTGTGAAGCTTTTGACCCGGGAGAAGAAGAACGAGGCGTATTTCTTGTCTATGTCAAAGTTGGACACCACCGTCTCACCAGTTGCCCTGGAAGCAAAGAGAAAAGTCAGGTAAGAGCAAGGGGAGACATTTTTCTCTCTAGGTGCAGTGGAGGATACAAGGGGGAGCGATGCGAGTGATCGACCCCCCCCCCCCACCCTCTTTTAAGACTCAGGAAATTTGTATTTTATGGATAATTACAAGAGAAATGCATTGAATGTTTTTTTATGAATGTTAAACCCTATTTTAAAAGCTTGATATTTAAGGACTGCCTTGTGAAGTTTCTATATTTGCCCGGGTGTAGGTGTTCCACCTTGTTTTGGAGAATGGCCCTGGAAAATGTCACACAAATAACTTAAATATGGGTCTATATACACAGTAAGGTGAAATTTTAGTTTTTTTTGCATTTCAACCAAACCGAAATTATTTAATCTTTAACAGTTGGAATAAGACACGTGAAATGACAAACCAAACATCAAGTGATTTAAGGCATGCACACATACCAGACACGACAAGCGGTCACAAAACACCCATCACCACACACACCAACACCACACCATCCAGCGCACGACCCCAACACCTCACCGCAACAATCCACAACTCGACACCGCAACACAGCTCATCGTCCCCCGTACCTCCCTGCGCGCAATCCCCTCCCCCCATGCCTCTAGGCGCGCCCCGATGCCCACGTGCACCCACCGGCAGGTGACTTGGCATGAATGGTGCAGCCACAACAGCTTGTTGAATCGCTGCCGCCCCCCGCACACCAACTGCAGGTCCACGTGGAAGCGCTGCTCCGACTCGGGCGGTGCCACACGGCGGTAGCGGCGGTAGCGCTGGAAATCCCCGCCCCTCTGCACGAGATCAAGCGCGCGTGTGCATGCGTAAGGCACAGCCGCCAAGTTAATGAACTCACGACAGAGATCACTCCCCACCACATCAGCGCACCACCCCCCACCCCACCCCGTCCACTAAAGAACTCATAGCACAGAGACCTCCATTAGTTGCGTTCACCACAACGACACTTAGTGATTAATACTTTTTTTATATATATAAAAGCTATTTTATCATTTGTGTGAATAGGCTTTAAGGGATTGGTGTAATTTTAACAAATTGTTTTTAAATGGCCTTTTATGCACCTAAAATTGGTTCACGTGTTTGAAAGATATTTAGTTAAATGTTCTTGAGGCTTGGCCGTTTTGCAATTGGCTCACAATCAGAAGGTTCCAAGTTGAAATTCTGGTTGATGATTGATTCAGCATATCATTCCTCCAGGGTTGATAAAATTACTACCACTCTGCGAGAAAGTCAGCATAGACTCACCCCTGCTATAGGAATGTGAAATTTCCACCACTGGCCCAATGCTCTAAACAAGGAGATGATAGCACTGGCTCAACGATCTATTAAGAGGTCACTTTGCTTTGGTTTCAGTCACAATGCCGTGCTGGGCGAGAGGCCCTCACCTCTTTGTCGGGCCTCTTGGTGAGGATGGAGAGGACACGCGTGTCCCCGTTAGTGTCCTGTGTCATACGGAAGTGGCCGTACAACACAGCGTCAATGCTGCGGTGTGACAGGTTGTTAGGGACAGATAAACGGGAGAACGTTTTAGAATACATATCTCAACGCAGACGTTCAACAAAAGAAGACAAAATTATGAAAAACCATTAAATGGTTATAAATACAACAAAAGCCACAAGTTGGGACATATGAGTTGGGCCACTTTCAGACAATGTTAGAGAGACACTTAAAATGAGTAGAGAACTTTAAACAAGGCGGCAAGGGCAAGTCGGTTTTGGATGCATCTCCTACACTTAAAATACTCCACACTTCAATTCCTGTCCACAACTACCATTATGGTCGAATGACATCTGAACCGATTCTTCTAAACCTTCACTAATGCCTACTGACCAGCGCGGTGAAGTGTAGTCAAACAACCAACACGACCCACCAGTGTGGGGAGGTTCTCATCCAGTCATCGCCTGACAAGAAGGCTATAAAAGTGCGTACATATAGAGTAGGTGGCATGCGAGGTTTGAATGACGGCTCCTGTATGCGACGTTGCTCGCTGCTTACCGCGTGTGCTTTGTGCGCAGACGTGACACGATGGACTGGGGGTCATCTGGAGTTGTCAGCATCATCACCAGCCCGTCAGGGAAGAAGCGCAGATACCTGTCGTCAACACGGACACATCGCACGGAGGTCCCGGAGGCAGCCGGGCATCCAGTGATCTACCACCCCCCCTTCTGCAAAGCGGTCAACCGTTCAAGACCCGATTTTTTGTCTCATTTGCATTGTCCGCTTCATGTATCGTGTTTCGTTTGTTCCATGAGCTGAAAGGTAACATTTTTATACTATTGCATGCAATTTACATTCATAATACTTGATATATTTTCATGAACACGGTTGGATTGATCTAGAGTGAAAGTGTGTTCATTTTAACTGGTGAAGCGTTACCTGTTTATAGAGGACAATACATTTTTTTTACTTAACCAGGAATGCACTTTCCCACAGAGGTGCACTAACTCCAATAGAACAATGGAAGAAGTTGGTCTGTACTGACCCAGAAAAGCCTGTTTCAAGACTCTTACTAATGAAGGTTTTACATGTAGTAATAAATGGAAATATGCAAACAATCCACAAATGTAATGTAAAAACATTCAAAGGTCCACACACGGGTGCAAGATTCTCCTTGCTATCTTGCCATCTCAAAGCAACCTCAAAACCCATGGGCTTTGGTAATTTTAAACACCAACCCAAGGCATGAAATAAACCAACTAGTTTATGAAACTGGCATCTTTACTTGTGGGATTGAGCCTATAGTGTAAATTCCACATCCTATGGCGGTGGCCAAGTTTATCCGGCGACCAAACTGTGATGACTTCCCACACCGTGGTATGCATTTCATTGACCCCAGAGATGATGGGTTGACTCGGCCCCCCGACTGGGATACAACTTCCAATATTAGATTGCGAGTCAAGTGCTCCAACCGCAGTGCCACTTGCCCAGATACATCAAGGCCAAGATGTCATCATGGACAAAGCTGATGATGTCACCAGACCTCTCCAATGCGTTCTACCCTCCACAGATCCCTCTGCTGCTCCACAATAGAAACTCGACTTCCAAGATCTGCCCAAACAGGATCCCAACATCTGCTCTCAGGGCTTCCATTTTGGTCACCAAATTCGTGAACATCACCCCAATGGAGGTGTTGTCAATCGCCCTCACCCATTCTCCGCACGTCCCGCCCAGCACAACCAGACACATCCTTATTGCTTGACAACTTAACCCTTTCACATTTCGAGACACCTGTAAGTTGCAGGGTGGGTCCCGTTCACCACTGAATCTCGGAACGCGCAAGCGGTTAGCATTCAAACTAGATTCGGTTAGCATTCGCTTTATTGTGAGGCATAGCGCCATTGTTTTTAAGGATAATTGTACACACCGCAGAAAACTGTAGCGACACGACTGCACTCTATGACAGCCAACGCCAAACCATGCCACACACCCTCCAGCATGGCCTTTTACTTCCGATTGTGACCAAGATGTGGAAGAAAAACTGATGACGTACACGTACATACACGTACGTCATTGGAACGAGAAAGGGTTAATGGTTGAAATCTATCCACTTGATTCGCCCGACTCACCTGAAATATTCAACCAGGTGCCAGGGGCTGTAGAAGCCGTCCAGGGACTGCTCACCCTGGCGAATGTAGCTCACTCTGCTGATGTACACCCCTGCATCCCGCAGATCAGCGCTAATTAACGCATGGAGCTATGGGCACGCGAGGGTCAAAGTCGATGATCATCATGTGTGAAGTCTGGGGATCATCATGCCTATCTTAAATCACCTATAGTTGTCTGCCTTTCTTTTTACTGCCTCTCCAATCTCGATTGGTGCTCTCGCTTGTCGATACCGTGTCATTTGTACTCGTTGTCTCATTTCTTCAGTTCAACCAACAGCCTAAAATATTATTATTTTAACTTTGTGTTCACTCAAGTTTGCCTAAATATAACATCAGTGTATCACATGCATACATAAAAAAAAAAAATGTTTAAACATTTAAAACAATCGTTTATGACACGCAACTCGATGCACGCACTTGTGTAAAAAAAAATTTGATTTTAACCGCTCAATCGTCACATGGCCAGTCACAGGTCAACTGTGGGGGGCGGCGGCTCGTTACGGCACGAGGTCACAGGGTGTCACTGCCGTGAGGTGAGGAGCCGCACAGCGGGGAGGGGGCTGTGCAGGCGGCCTAGGCGGAGGGAGCGGTACCATCGTAGCGCAGGCGCGTTCGCTCCAGGAACATGTGCCTCCACGACAGGTAGGGCGACGGCTTGCCCGTGTTCCGGCCCCACACCCTCAGGCAGGCCAGACGCCAGATCTCCGGGTCCCTGTGCAGCGACATAAAAAAACCGACGACTTAAATTTACCTGCAAACTATTCCATCGGGATTGCAAGGAACAATCGATGGCGAGATGTTATACGACCTCGCCTGGTCGACAGGATGTCGTGGGTTGTATATTTGGACGAAACAATAAGGCGAGGTTTTACCCTCTCTGGCAATAAAACAGGTGTTAAGATGTTCAAACAGCTATTGCAAGGCATCGAGTCTGCATTAACCACGCGTACTTGTGGCAAAGCATGCAAACAAACATGCCCTAATAATATATACGCATTGCCTTTGAAACTGATTGGCCTACACCAGAGAAAGCCTTCTTTAAAGTGTAGGGCAATTAGTTTGCTTACCGTTCCTATACTTTGCACGCCTATCATGTTTTTGTATTGTTTGTTGTTTTTGTAACGTTCTGACCTGCCTTGACTGGAAAGCTGTGAAAAAGAGCTGCATAGCTCATCGGATTCTTCCAGCATAAATAAACATTCTGATTTTGACACTCATCCATAGAGGCAGCGACAAACACAGCGCAAATACAGATAAAAGCGGTATGGATTCACGTCGACCGCTACCGACCTGGCACACATGTAGAATCCCCGACACACCATTGACAGCTGCTCCAGAGAGCGCAGGTCCAAATCGCTGGATACGACCCAGCGGAATACATACACCAGCACCTCCACGGGCAGCGCTGGGGAAACGAAAGCACGGGCAGAGCATAGAGCAGTACCATCACACTCACCCCCCGCAAGCAAACCGTCGAGCGAAAGCATGTCTGCGTGCTCACTCGAGTGTGGGGCGACGCTCATCCTCACTGGCAGTACCAGAGCCAGTGGTGGAAATTCCAGTCACATGTATGTAGAACTTCTTTCGCACCGTACGTAGCCAACCGTGCTAATAGTAGTGGGCAAGTTGATCCAAAAGGACGTGCATTAAGTGGCATTACTAATTTTATCGACCCAGAAAAGGTGATCGTGATGGGTTGAGTTGACACTGGGCCAGGATTTGAATTTGCGGCCTTCCGATTGTGAGTCGAACGCCGACAGCGTTGCTTCATCTGCCAGGTTCTTGCGCTCCAAGCACTCAGCACCAAAGCAATTGCCCTTGCATTAACAAACCTTACTCCCTCTGTCTGCAACGCAAAAACCACACTACAAAGCATACAACTCTCGCCACAGGAATTTGCCAGTATTCCTCTTCAGCCTCAGCCAATGGCCCAGAGGTCCACAGACACGCGCTCGATACGCGCGTACATTCAAGTCACGGAGGCTCTCGCACGTCACAGGAATTAACGAACCTCCGTCTCCAGTTGCTTTACATACCAAGAGGCTGGGGGCCAAGGGGGTTGATTTTCTCCACGTTCGGGAGTAACATTGGCAAGATATCATCATCCGCTGGGCCACTGTGCAGACATTCCGTCGCGGCATCTCGCTCGGGTAAACTCTCCGTTCTGCCGCGCCGATGTTTATCGGAAAGGTAGGCTGGCAATCGTGTGGCAAAACAAGCCTCGCCAGCCAGTCCATAAACGGAGCCTCCTCTCAGGCAATTCAATCGGCAGGCCCAAGCCTTCCAAACCTGCCATACGTCCTTACCCGTTGACCACACCTGACCAATACGAAGGTAACGATGCACTGATTCACCGAATCAAATCAGTTATAACACTCAAGATACGTGCTTTAAATCATGTGTACGATCAAACTATTTACGTGCGATAATCTACTAATTACGATTTCTTACAATATATGCGTGATTCACTTTAAGATTGTGTTCGTTTTTTTGACTCGATTAGACCGTCTTAGCTGCACTGTCTGGTCTTTACGTTCTATAGCATTGGTTTACAACCTCTGGCTTGCCGCATGTCCCCTACCAGACCTATCAACTGTCCATATACCCCTACCAGCGTATAAGTTCAATATTTTATTAAATCATTGTGATGCTCTTAGTTACATGCCATTAAAACCAAAGCCATTTAACTCAACTTAATAACAATTAATGACTAAATATTGACAATGTAATATTTCCACATGAACAACACACGTACAGGTTAAGTAATCTTTTAAACACCATACTGCACAGCAGGAAAGTTGAGGATCACATGGGCGTGTAATAAAATAAACGGTGTAAACACGAGAGGGCACAAGCAAACTATGTGGATGGCCGAGGCGTCCAAGTTCATGGGTTCACCGAATTCCATTCGACAGATAAATACATGGCATTAGAATTGCTAGTGCACACACAATGCGCGTACATATTTTTACACTTATTTATCCAGCAAAGCCTCACCGAGTCCCACTAATCTTTTTCAGGAGGATCCTGCCAAGCTTTTGCAGTAGGTGGCGATGACTGCTATGTATATTCCAATTTAGTAATCTCCTTAGAAACCCCGCGTGACCTAACCCAACGTGACCATTGACATTCCGTGACCCGTGTCGCATAACCCTCGAGATGTCACATGGTATCCCTGGGAACCGCCCGTTCCATAATGCATATTTCAACGGTACTATCTCATTCGTACAGTCTGCACCGTCACAATTTGTCATACCATATCATTTTTGTGGTCCGTCTCGTTTGTTAGGTGGAACTCATTTAAACCATTAGCCTCAATGAATCATTTGCAGAACGCAAATATAATCATAGCCCGACGCAGAATTCAATGCATGCATCAGAGCATAAGAATCCCTTTGAATTAAAGAATCACACCATCCCGACTAAAGCCCCTGTGACACCACGCACACAAGCCAGTCACGAAGTGCCAAGTTCGCGGCATACATTTTGGCAAATGACTCAGGAGGAATAACCCCCAATCGCGAATTAACATTTAGACTTTCAAAATCCAACCATTGGGAGACATTTCAACATCCAATCACCTGCAGGAATCGCAATGTCCAATCGATCAGCCAAGGGTTGCTCAACATCCAATCAGCAGGAAGCTTTGTGGCGATGTTCGGCGATGGTATAGAGCGATGCACATCTGGCTTATCTCATCTGCCGCGATATATTCGGAGAAAGGGAGCAAGAAAGCATGCTTGGACTATGCCAGCCATGGTGCTCAGTGAGTTTTACTGCAATCAAAGTGACTCTGAACTTCCGAGCATCTGCAGAATCTAGGAAAGCGATAACCCAGAATAGCAGTGCGTATCGGGTGGATAAACGCAACGCGTTTATGTTCCTTTTGTGTCACCCGCCGCTCACTTGGTTTTATCATCGCAGGCGAGCCACGTGGGTTGTTTCTTTTTCAGATGTTTTTCCCTCTCACGTTTCGCCGAGTGGTCGTTATTTTCGTTTGAGAGCCTCAGGCGCTGCGCGTAGCGTTAAAAGTGCAGCGCTCTCTCTCCCCCCTCTAAACAATGCTCACGTCAATGGTGGGGTTTTACGGTCAAGTTTTGGGTCATGAAGATGCACAAAAGAATGTATTTACAACGATGGTGGTGTCTCGGTCACAGCCAGAGAAAATAAGAAAACCGTGGAGAGAGCAACTTCCTCACAATGACATTTCGTTCGTCTTTCTCCGAGGTGAAAAAAAATCCGAAGCACATTTGTGACTTTCAATTATTACTTCTTTATTTAGTGTAGGTGCGGCACTTGGTGACGAGCCGTCAGCATGGGCGGGTTCAGGAGAAAGCACTTCCGGAGCCCCAAGAAATAAAAGAGCAGTGCTTGACAACACTCAACAAGGCACACGGCACGACCTTGTAAACAAATCGCACGTAGGCTTCACGGCTTCTCGGGCTTTCACGCGCCAAGAGATGTTTTTACGTCAATAACGTGATAAAAATGATAAAACAAAGAAATGTTAACGTTCCGAGTGTACCACGCACAATTTACGCCTAAAATCAAGAGCCTTCTTCCCCCCGAGCCGTGGATTTTTGGATCAGCCTGCGATGCAACCCCTCGATAAAGGACCTTCACAAGCACGGCACTGTGTTGTCGCTTATCGTGCACGGCCCGGTCTGCTGTGACGATGAGCGATACGCCCACGCGCGTCTGTGCTTGTTTTACCAAAAAAAACGTTTCAAGCGCTGGGGAAAAGATAGTCGATTTCTTTAACCTTGTTTTCATACGAAAACAAATGATGCAAAATTATGAGATATGAGCGTGGTAAAAAAAAAAAAATTGAGGGAAAGATATGAAGGAGGGAAAATAAGAGGCGGTCGCGTTTGCCTTGTGGGATCGCATGCGGACCTCAGTAGAGCAATCACGACTCATTGCTCTATGCCATCTCATCCGAGAGTGAACGCATGAAACACATGAACCGAGTTCAAAATGCGCACGCGAAAATGCGACATTTTAAATTACGAATACGGTGGAGTGAAGACAGCATGAGGACGGCAGTCGTGCGTGTTTGTGTTGGCGCGCGAATGTGCGAGTATGTGTGCGTATATTCCTGTCCTGTGTAGCGTTGTGCAAGCATGTGTATCAATGTGCATATGGGTACGGGTGAATATCGGTGTGCGAGCGCGCGGCTATGTACCGGTTTGCACGTGTGCAAGTGTGTGCAATAGAGTGCAGCGCGTGATTGCAAGTATGGAAGCATGTGTATTTGAGTGTGGGCATATGTGAGCGCATGCGTGCTTCTGAGCGTATATGTGTGCGCGAGCAAGTGTGTGTGTGTGTGTGTGCAACTGTGCGGTTGTGTGTGTGCAGGTAAAACAGTGGACGCGTGTGCAAGCGCTTGTGGATGCGTGCAAGCGTGCATGCAGGCAAGCGACTCCTTGCAAGTGCGTACGGATGTTTGTGTGCGAGTGCATGCGGGTATGTCAGCGTGTGTAGGTGTGTGAATGTTCAAGGGTACGCTTTGAGTGTGTGCCAATGTTCTCCCTCACCGGAAATGTGCGTCTGCCTCGACTCGGTGTCTCGCCGGCACAGTTTCGGCTGAGCCTCCTGCAGGCTCAGTTCACTTTGGAAGGAGGTGAGGAGGTTCGTCACCGCGTTGTCCTCCACCGCCTCACTGAAGGAAACCACCCATCCACTCATTCATTGACTGCGAGCTTCCACTCACTCGTGCGTTCACCGTCAACTTCCACTTGGGGAGAATGGTCAGCTAATATTACGAGCGATGGACTACACTCAAGCGTGGTGGCACACGCCTGTAAATTCAGAGACTTAAGAGGGTGGAGGTTGACAACAGGGTGACACAACATCACTTCCTGGCTTTTCCCATTAGGCACCTCCTGTGACGTCATTTCTCGCTGGTCCCTTCAGTTGTTCCTGTGGCGTTATTGTGCAGCATGGCCACAGACAAGGCATTGGACTTCAGAGATCACTCCGTCGACAAGGCCCTGCGCAAATCGCGCCATTTTCTCCTGAAATTATAATGACCGACGCTGCACTGGGGAGATGGCAGGAGGCTCGGCGATGCTCGCTCAGTGTCAACAACCCCACTATGCTTCGTGCGGACCGGGCCAAGCTTACCGATTGTCCATGTCTCCTGGAGAGCCATTTTCGCCCCCATAATCATTCACCCGGAATTCGATGTCAGGCACCAGCTGCATCGCCTGCCGGTAAAACTTGATGGCTGGAAGCGCAGATAAAACAAAAACCAGCAACAAAGAAAATTGTTGCTATTTTATGTAATGATTTACAGGCCCCCCCCTGCCACACCACCACCAGCGTATCAACAATGTCACATTTCGAGATTGCGGTAAAATTCTTAAATTGTTTTTTTTGTTCAGAATAAGAATATTTATTTATACTGGCAGGATCCGATGAGCTATAAAGTTATTTTCCACAGATGTCCAGTTGTTAGTTTCATTATCCTGTGTGCGGGAGCCACATGGATTGTTACATTGCCGTACTGTGAGAATTGGCGATGGGGTGGGGAGGCCTTCATCCAGCAGTGGACAGATTATAACGGAGATGATAGCTTATTTCGAGATTATACATATGCTTAACATTCTACAATGTTGAGCGCATGGTACGTTGTGTGCTACTTGTTTTCGATTGCTCTCCCCATGCCTTTGCACTAATTTCTTGTGTTTTCCCAGGTCTCCATTGCAAGAGGTTTGGGAAAGACTGGTATGCAGTAGTTGAGTCAAGGTCACTTAACCCAAACCATGAAATATTTTAATTTACACATGTAAACCACATGGGCAGATGTTTTTGTTTTACAATGAAATCATTACTTATTACCGTCACTCAACTATTCGTCTATTATATTCTTAGTTTTTTCGGTAAAGTCACGTTGAAGGGAAGTGACTTTACCGAAAAAACTAAGAATATGAATTACTGCAGTCACGAAAGCTTTAAATCAAAATGTATTCGTCTATTATCCAAATTGATAACCTGTTGGCAGAATGTGAAACTGAAAGATGTGTTAAAGCTTAAAAAACTAAGTCTCTTTCATTCCAAAATATCTTGGGTCATCTGACCACTCGTGCATAGTTTTAGTTTGGGACGTGATTCTTATGCCCATTTTTCCAAATAATATTCCAATGTTAAGATCAGACAAACACAAATTTCCACTTGGAACTCCCGTGGCAAGCAGTGTACCGTGTTGGGCAGAGGGTGGCGCTCCGAAGGATGATGTCACAGAACTACTTCCAAAGTTGGTCCCAAGGGGCCCGCTTTAGCCACACTAGGGGGCACAGCTGAATAATTTTCCCCGAGCACTGTTTTTTTATGTATAGTTTTCCATTCGTGCTTCACAGACATTGGCAATTGTTTGCTGGTAAACTGCAACAATCGCCACCTTCAGCAAACCCCAAATGCCTCCTGGCTAATGCTCACGTATAGACTCGCGAGCCTACGTGCCACATTCTCTTCTTGTCCCAACGTTTATTTCAATTGGATTTGTTTTTTTTTTTTGCAAAGAAAACCTGCTGGTGCCTCAATCACCACTGAGGAGGAGTGAAGAGGTGGGGGGGGGAGGGGGTAAATCCTCCAGGTGATGTGTTTTGGCCGTGCCGCCGAGATGGGAATCTCTCCCTAAGTGCGTGCGGCGTTGAGGCTGGAACAAAAGGCGGCCAGCCGTCCCCGTCCGATTTGGCGGTCGTGTCTCCTGCTCCCGCGCGCTCGCCCGGCAGCCCGCTCTCCGGTCACCAGCACGAAACGAAGACAGCCAGCCGCAGCCTTTGCGGCGCTCCCGTGACAACTTAGCCGGCATTTGCTACATCATTTAGCATGAGACGGGCATGGGCTGACTTGCTCGTATCGCATTACAGGCAATTTGAAATGAATACGATTAAACCACACAGGAGACAAGACGCTCGGCACATAACCAACAACAACAGCAAAGTATTTACAAAGAGAATTAGAATTTATCATTTCATGTATTAAATTGTAAATATTTTATTATTTCCTGTAAGTAAATTGTTCTTTGCGGGGCAATTACAAAAAAGTGTACTCAAATGTATTAGCTAACTGCTTAAAGGAGAAATGAGGCAACATACATCTATGCTCAGGGCTCCCGAGTCAGTGGTGGAAATTCTACATTTCTATGGCTGGGGTCAGTCTATCGTGAAGACAACCAATGCAGACTTTACCAGAAAACAGTACTGATATTATTGACCCAGAAGGATGACAAGCTGAGTTGATGAGGATTTTAACTCCTGACCGTCAAACAACGTACTTCCTGGCAGTACTATTTCTCAACTGTCACCATCATCACCCTTGCGAGATAGATACAATTAAAAGACTGCTTCGGTGGAATAGACGTTTTTGTTTGTATAGAATGGTCCCGATCATGCGAATGTGGAATTTCCACGACTGGCTCAGGACTGCCAAAGATAAGCCTCATAGAGGGTATGTGACTTGTTTAGTTACCCTGTTTACAAAACTAATTGAACACGCTTGGTGGACAGGAGTGCCGCTGTGTTTCCATCTTGTGGTAAATTGTGCCTGTCCACAGAGTCCATGACGGACGTTGCTCTCGCTCTTATCAGTGACAAACTGCCAGGCCAACACGGGCGGTGACAAAGAAAGCGGCGGCAGCAGCAACAACAGAAAAAAAAAGAGTGTTAAAAAAAAAACCACCAAGAGGCCGTTCCGGCACAGCTGCCCCTCTCTCCCCACCGTCACCTGACCGAATTCCCCGGTGTCATGTTTCACGGGACCAGTGGCCCTGACCGCCTTTCCCTGCCATCGCCCACCCGCTCCTCCCCTACTCCGCCATCTCCGGTGCAAGGCATGCGTGCCGTTCCATCATCGGCCTCGGCCCCCAGTCGAACCCTAAACTTCAGCGGCAGCTTAGACGCCAGGCGCTGACCCGACCGCACACAGGTGATGCTTGCCCACCCCCCCACCCGCCCACCGCGTTTCCAACACCACGCCACCCTCACCTAACCTAGCCCCTCTGAAGTTTGGAAGACTTAGGAAGCGAGGCAGCAAAAAGTAAGAAAAAGAAAAATGAAAAGAAAAATTGAGGGACGACCAGCATTTTGCAGAAGGGAAGTTGTCAAAACACTGCTGTTGGACGGCCTTCGATGGTGGGGACCGAGGCTTCATGATGGCATTACTGTTTGCTGCAACCATACAGACACCAAGCTATTCTGAGTTACACCAGCTTGGAACTTGTCTTCAAAGGAGAGAGTATAACATTACTGCACTTACTCATAATCTATATTATGAAATGAAAAGCGAAATCAGACATTCCAACCGGCTGCCCTTATTTATAAGGCTTCTATTGAAAGCACTGAGCCAGTGGTGGAATTTCCACATTTCTAGGACAGGGACCAGTCTATCCTGAAGACAGAAAGAAGGCTTCCCTGAAGGAAACCTACACATTGAGATCTCTTCTCTCAGTAACCGTAATGAACCTACTATGTCTGAATTACCCATTTAATTTACTGCGCAATGTTACACCACTTATTACCGACAGCCATTGTTGATTGTTGCCAACCTAGGGGGAGTATGGTTGCTGTCAAAGTAATGTGGAATATGAACCAATAGCTCAGGGTCAGCAGCAAAGCTGAGTGCTACCACAGCGGTTGCTTGTTGAACATATACAGTGAGGGAAAAGAGTATTTGATCCCCTGCTGATTTTGTACGTTTGCCCACTGACAAAGAAATGATCAGTCTATAATTTTAATGGTAGGTTTATTTGAACAGTGAGAAACAGACTAACACCAAAAAATCCAGAAAAACGCATGTCAAAAATTTTATAATTTGATTTGCATTTTAATGAGGGGAAAAAGGTATCTGACCCCTCTGCAAAACATGACTTAGTACTTGGTGGCAAAACCCTTGTGGGCAATCACAGAGGTCAGACGTTTCTTGTAGTTGGCCACCAGGTTTGCACACACCTTAGGAGGGATTTTGTCCCACTCCTCTTTGCAGATCTTCTCCAAGTCATTAAGGTTTCGAGGCTGACGTTTGGCAACTCGAACCTTCAGCTCCCTCCACAGATTTTCTATAGAATTAAGGTCTGGGGACTGGCTAGGCCACTCCAGGACCTTAATGTACTTCTTCTTGAGCCATTTTCAATGCCCTGAGGGAAGGAGGTTCTCACCCAAGATTTGACGGTACATGGCCCCGTCCATCATCCCTTTGATGCGGTGAAGTTGTCCCGTGCCCTTAGCAAAAAAACACCCCAAAAGCATGTTTCCACCTCCATGTTTGACAGTGGGGATGGTGTTCGTGGGGTCATAGGCAGCATTCCTCCTCCTCCAAACACGGCGAGTTGAGTTGATGCCAAAGAGCTCCATTTTGGTCTCATTTGACCACAACACTTTCACCCAGTTGTCCTCTGAATCATTCAGATGTTCATTGGCAAACTTCAGACGGGCATGTATATGTGCTTTCTTGAGCAAGGGGACCTTAAGGTTTCGAGGCTGACGGCAAACTTCAGACGGGCATGTATGTGCTTTCTTGAGCAAGGGGACCTTGCGGGCGCTGCAGGATTTCAGTCCTTCACGGCGTAGTGTGCTACCAATTGTTTTCTTGGTGATTATGGTCCCAGCTGCCTTGTGATCATTGACAAGATCCTCCCGTGTTGTTCTGGGCTGATTCCTCAACGTTCTCATGATCATTGCAACTCCACGAGGTGAGATCATGCATGGAGCCCCAGGCCGAGGGAGATTGATAGTTCTTGTGTTTTTTTCCATTTGCGAATAATCGCACCAACTGTTGTCACCTTCTCACTAAGCTGCTTGGCAATGGTCTTGTCGCCCATTCCAGCCTTGTGTAGGTCTACAATCTTGTCCCTGACATCCTTGGAGAGCTCTTTGGTCTTGGTCATGGTGGAGAGTTTGGAATCTGATTGATTGCTTCTGTGGACAGGTGCCTTTTATACAGGTAACAAGCTGAGATTAGGAGCACTCCCTTTAAGAGTGTACTCCTAATCTCAACTCGTTACCTGTATAAGACACCAAGGAGCCAGAAAACTTTCTGATTGAGAGGGGGTCAAATACTTATTTCCCTCATTAAAATGCAAATCAATTTATAACATTTTTGACATGCGTTTTTTTCTGGATGGTTTTGTTGTTATTCTGTCTCTCACTGTTCAAATAAACCTACCATTAAAATTATAGACTGATCATTTCTTTGTCAGTGGGAAAACGTACAAAATCAGCAGGGCATCAAATACTTTTTTCCCTCACTGTAAAAACATTTATCTTATTTCATTACAGAAATTCTTACAGTCTCGTTTTCAGGAGTGCCCGAGGAATGTTTGACCAGTTTCTTTTAGAATATCGATTCCCTAAGAAGTCACTCTTGCTAAGCTTACCATCACTGCTGGCAAACACGCAAACGTAAAAAAAAACTGAACAGATGTGATTTGTGAGCAAATGTTTACAGTAACGCAACGCTGACACTGACCCTGAATGTTGTGATTTTTATGTTTCGCAAGGGATTTGAAGACGAGTAATTGTTATGTTTTAAGTGGGAAACCCTCGGATTTGTGGTGACCCGGATCAGGATTACGGGTGAGAGAAACACAGTCATCACAAGCTCCAAATCCCCTTTAATCCCAGTAATGGGTGCTGAGTTGGGTACCTTCATACAGAGCCCCCTCCTGCTCCAGCTCTGCAGCTCTAATGAACAGCTCCCGCGCCTGCAACGCAACACAACACAAAGTGGGTTTATATAGCATCAAGTAGGACACAATGTGGGTTTACGTAGCGATGAATACAACAGAACATGGGTCTACATAGCGTCTAATACACAACACAATGTGGGTTTATATAGCATCAAGTAGGACACAATGTGGGTTTACATAGCGATGAATACAACAGAACATGGGTCTACATAGCGTCTAATACACAACACAATGTGGGTTTATATAGCCTCAAGTAGGACACAATGTGGGTTTACATAGCGATGAATACAACAGAACATGGGTCTACATAGCGTCTAAAACACAACACAATGTGGGTTTATATAGCATCAAGTAGGACACAATGTGGGTTTATGGAGCGATGAATACAACAGAACGTGGGTCTACATAGCGTCTAATACACAACACAAAGTGGGTTTATATAGCATCAAGTAGGACACAATGTGGGTTTACGTAGCGATGAATACAACAGAACATGGGTTTACATAGCGTCTAATAGGACACGTGGGTTTAAGTACCGTCTAACACAACACAATGTGGGTTTACGGAGCAATGAATAAAACAGAACGTGGGTCTACATAGCGTCTAATACACAACACAAAGTGGGTTTATATAGCATCTAATATACACAATGCGGGTTTACGTAGTGTCTAATACAACACAATGTGGGTTTACGTAGTGTCTAATACAACACAAAGTGGGTTTATAGAGCATCTAATATACACAATGTGGGTTTACGTAGCGTCTAATACAACACAATGTGGGTTTAAATAGCGTCTAATACAACACAAAGTAGGTTTAATACTTTATTTACAAAGTAGGTTTACATAGCTAATAGGACACAATGTGGGTGTACGTAGCGTCTAATACAATACCATGTGGGTTTATATAGCATTTAATAGAACAAAATGGATAAATTATGTGGGTTTATGTAACGTCTATATGTGACTGCATCTCATGGCACTGTATAGAACTGACACGGCACAACAACGCAAACATCGTCAAATCATGATCCTCTGCAGATAAGAGTTGACATCAAGGAATACACAGCAAAAAAAAACGGCTCTTGTCATTAGGCACATGGCAATGCATCAATTAAAACGTAATCTTACAAGCATGATACATCAAATTGAAAGTTTAATAACAGGATATTTACAAGCAATACAAATCACATGAAAATGGTATACTGTTACACTGATGTAATCTTTCAAAGCCATTGTCTAATATGACGTAGTTGACCAATGTTTATCTTCCCAGAGTTATATTTCAAATGTGCTACGTAACTACATGAAAACATTCCCACTGGAGATCTTGAGAAGGGCAATGCTCCAAATTGTCAATGGCCTGAAGGATGTTGTTAGAGAATTACTTAAGTCGCTTCAAATCTCCTTTGTCAACATGAGGGACATACTTTTAATATGCCCTGCAATAAATGTTTGATAAGTGTCAATGAAATGGAAAATGTTACATCTCCAAGCTGAGATCAGTCACATATCGTGAAATTACTAATCTAACGATGTTTTTTTCACGTGCAGTTATTGCTGACCAGGCTAAGACCATAAAATCAATAACCTGAGAACCTGGCTTAATAACGAGCAGCTGAAACCCAGATTTAAACCCAGGTTCTGAATGCTTGCTGGCTCAGTGTTTCTACCACGGTATTAGCAAAATAAGCACCTGGCCACCAATGGAAAAAAACGAAGAACATTTAAAGTGACTTTCAACTTAACGACTGCCGTACCTTGTAATACATCAGCACGTCACTATAGGTAAGCGTCACTGAGATAAAAATACAATGCATCACGCTTGAGCTTAAACTCCGACAAGCAGGCACTATGGAGCACGTGCAGAAGCAACAGTGCGATTTGCATCCGACAATAATTCAGAGAAATGTAATCCCATGGCTGTCACACAAGGGCGTATGTAGGCTTCTGTCGGGCGCAGCTAGATTAAATGAGCCAGCGATGGCCAAACGCCACTGGCCGGAGAGCTGATCTGCGGTACGCAGCTCCACCTGCTGGCAATGGCCTATCATGTACAACCAGGTGTGCAGCCTCTTGTTACGATTAACCAATTGACACGGATTCAACGATCACTCGGCCAGCATCGAATTCAGTGCTTTACAACGGATTATTTAATATTCATGTTAATGTTTTCACACGTTTCCCCTCGGGTAATGGTATTGGCTTAACTTGTTCAAACGAGTGAATATAAAATGTTTGGTCTATATCTCGGTATTAATGAAATCGCAAAGTTAATTGATAAAATTTTCATTTCTTGTTTTATTAACTGTAGTTTATTAAACCAATTTCTTTTTGGTCTCATATTTTATCTTCATTCTGTATTTGTTGTAACCCAAGTCTTACTTGAAAAGAGGTTAACTCTCAACGGTTTCTCACCCGGTTTAAATTATGTGTAAATTTTGAACAGACCACTGCAGATATGCAGCACAGACATACATTTAAAACAATCCCTAAGCACAAAATAACATTTCATTTACCAAAGATGTACAATAAATAAACGAAGAAATCATTTATAGTGACATAGTACACGTTGAATATCATTTTTAGAAGATCAGATTTCAACCTCCTCTTAAATTATTTACATCTGCAAAGCAAATTGCACCATTGTGGAGCAGATCCCATAGCTGCGTAGGGATACAGAAAATGCCATGCCAACTATTTTCAAGTTGGTATGAGGTTGCACCAAAATGACCTGACGAGCCGATCCCTGCAAATCTCACACGGGAACATAAACTTGAAGAAGCGCCTTGATGTAGGAGGAAGCCATCGAATGAAGAACTTCACGTGGATTGAAGCAGGTCTTGGAATTCACAATTCATAGGGAAATCACTGTTGACATCCCTACAGAGAGTACTCATTTTATCAACTTCTTTCGCAACATACGTAGCTAACCGTGCCAGAACGATACGTTGAAAGGTATATAGGTTACAATTTTCCCTGCTGGCTTCAGAAATGTCATAAAGCAGCAATATGAATCTATTAAGCAAGAGTGTAATGATACATTTTAATGAGGGAACCAGTGCATTGCTACAAGCCTAAATAACGAGTATGGGTGACGGTGACAATTCGGACTGCCAGCGTCTCTCCCCCTTGTCGCCGCACCTGCTCTTCTGCGCCGAGCGTTGTCTTTGCTCGGTCTTGTGACCCCGGCTGCACCGGAGATGGCACGGGCAGCTGCGGGGCTGTACCACCGGGCAGGGGGCCCTCGCGGGCAGTACCCCCTCCTGGGCGGCCCCCTTTCAGCTCCGAGCGCCAGCGCTCCCTGAACGCCTCCAGCTGCTCCTGGCGGCGGCAAAGGACACGAGCGTCAGGCGCAACCCAGGTGGAGTGCTTCCTCTGGCCCCATTATGTTACAACACATCATGTCGATTCACAAGTGTGACCAAACGTCCCTCGGCTGTAGAAGACACATTCGCCACGATTAGGGGTCCACACATAATTATATTTTGTTGAGTGTGTAGATTAATTCTGTAGTCTGTCTTGCCATTGAATTCTGTATCGGCCGTGCCTCATATGCACATGACCTTTGCTCTTGTCGTGTGTGCCATTTCTCATTTGTGTTGCTCGTATGTATTATCGCATTTGTAATTTCTCTCTCATTTGTACTTGAAGGAAGAATGGAATCGGCTGTATTTCAATTGCACCATTGATGGCATGAGTGGGTACATTTCCAAATGGCAATTCAGCAACAGATCACCTTGTGTCAGGGAATAGCCCTGAAATATGACATGGTAGAATAATAATATAAGAAATGCTTTTTTTTTAACCAGAAAAGATTTTGCGAGTCTCAAGTATAGCTCACGAGAGGGTCATCCAAGGGAAATATTAATCAATTCCATTCACGAGTGTTTGGTGACTTCTGAAGTACCATCAATAATCTGGACAACATTAATAACCCTACAAATTGCATGAGTTGTTTGTCAATAAGTCCAAAAAATGTACTCCAAGAGCTAAAACGTGCCAAATTAGTGAACCACCAATTTAATGCAGTATTTTTATGCTACCAATTGTGCCCAAGATAAGACCAGTAAATCACCACAACTAAAATCCAGTTAAATCATGCAGGAAACTAACTAGGTGCTTTCACGCTTGGTTCAATCCTAATCAAGGGGGTGATTGAGGCCCATGGGATAAGTTGTGGGAGGATCATTAAATTAATTTGTTCTGCACCTACATTCAGATTCTTTTCTGATGCAGCTTCTTGCTCATCATCACTGTCATCCATGAGAAAAGAGAGATGATCTTTGTCTCCTTCAGCCTGTTAATGCACACACATCCACACAAATACATAAGCACACACATACTCAACAATGTCCATTTTCCACTAAGTAAAGGTGATATCACTACAGCGTTCCAGATCTTCCCATACCACATCAGTCATCTCCTCTCAAGCTTGTGCTGTACCCATTTGGCCCCCTCTATCTGGTCAAAGTGAAATTGCTTTGGCATGCAGTAGCTGGGCATGCAGTAGCTGGGCATGCAGCCAACACAACCTTGCCTGCCAAAAAAGCTCACTATGGGACTCTGTCCAGAACATTCGAGTATCTGTGAGCTCATTACAGCATCCAGCCTGGTTAAACCCAGGAAGGAACGTCGGAAAGCCAATTGTTTCAAGCATACGCAGGTGCACCTGTGAAAGGGACAATGTTTTGCAAGCATAGAGAAGAGACTTTATAACTGTGGCCGAGAAGACCCGGAAACGTGTGTGGAGTAACATGCCAGGCAGCTTCCACGCAGCGTAGCACGACCGATGAAAATAGAATGCTATGTGACTGATCCGAAGCGAGACCTCTGCTACCCAACCGAGAGCTGGTCATTAGCACACTGCCCAGGTATGAGAACTCCTCAAATATCTCCACAACTGCCCTATTACTCACGGAGAGGTAGAGGCGTGGAGTGTTTAATGGTACGAAATATCTAGGCAAGTACAGATGCAGACATGGCAATTGCAGGCGATTTAAGTTGATACATTTCCAGGTCCAACTTTACGATTCAATGTAAATGCCGAAAGCTCCAACAGCCAAACATAATTGTTTAAATATTCTAAAGAGCATCAGGAGGAATCTCCCAAGCCATGTTGTGCAGCTACCTTCTTTACGCACTGTGCTTTAACAATGTTGGAACATTTGTTAAAGTTTATATCCCAGTAGAGAGGCACTCCTGGACTGTACAACGTCGTTCATGAGTCATGAGAGAAAAATAGGATTTAAAATGTATTTTAAATGACACCACTAGATCGGAAGGTTGCAAGTTCAAATCGTGGCAGGGAGGTTGACTCATCCGATCATCGCTGCGGAGTTGATCAAGATTAATACGACGTTATACTTTGGATAAACTCGCCCCTGTCATATGACTGTGGAAGACACCACTTGCACATGGCTATAAACAGGAAGGGAGCACTGCCTCAATGCTCATTTGCGCAGGAAATCCACTTTGTTTTTAGACCACTTCAGCACGCATGTCTCTCAAAGTGTGTTATGCAACTGTTCCCATGTGGACCTATAGGCATTCCGTTTTCGTCATGTCAGTCTATGGCTATTCATTCATTTTAGTGTTTAGCCCCACACATAGCTGTATTTTGGAATCACCAGTGAACCAAAGCCCGATTGCCACTGTTGTCATCCTGTAAGCAGCATTAATTCGTTATCCGCGTTAACCTTCTGCCGAGGACCAAGCGAACCCAAACATATTCAGCTATTGCCTAACCACCGCCGGATGAAGGCATATCCTACCACCGCACAGTCTGACAGGAATTTTTTTTCAGTTCACATTTTACCGAGAAAATTCCTTGAGCTGGAACTCGTTTGCAAGGGTGCCCAACGTGGTATAATCCTCCAACGACGACGCGAAGGATATTTCCGAGTTATGCAAGATATCGTAATTATCGGCAGTTCACCCGCATTGGCTTTAACAAAGTTTCAGCTTTCAGTTTCATTTATTTTGGTAGCGCCCTGTGAGCCATTCGGCTCTTGAATCGGGTCCAACCGCAACAAACAAAAAAACATGAACAAGAAAATACATTTACACCAATGGAAACCTCATTTGCCAGTAACAAAATATGATAATTGGTTTTTTACCCTTTTATCTGGCAACAAAACTGACACCTTTTTTTTACAAGGAGTCATGTTTACATTGACCACAATACCTGCGGTCGGAACACAAACAAAAAACTCTGATAATGTATGTGGCACTGTCCTTGAAATTGATTGGTCCACACCAATCAATCCACACCAATCAATTTCAAGGACAGTGCCACATACATTATCAGAGTTGTTGTTTTTTGTTTGCGTTCCGACCGTAGGTATTGTGGTCAATGTAAACATGACTCCTTGTAAAAAAAGGTGTCAGTTTTGTTGCCAGATAAAAGGGTAAAAAGCCAATTATCAAGAAAAAAACATCTTAAAGTGACTAGTGAAAGCGTGACTGGGCGATGGCACACCGAATGTTGAAACCGGTCTAGAGTCTGCTTGTGTTGAAACAATGCTCCAGGAGGATTTCTCCACAACTCTTGGCTTGGCTGTCCCCGCCTGATGATGCTGGTTGTAATTACTCGCGACACGTCATCGGTACTCGAATTGCAAATGTTGCAGTGGGTTTACTCTCCAACACACAGGGGTGTGCTGTATTAGTATCGAATTGGCATGTAACAGACCGTACTGAGATTGGCTGTGCCGGGTGGTGGTGGCGGATTTAACGACGCATTTATTTTTACGCGATCGAACCCAAAAACCTCGATTATGGATATTGGTCGCAAAATCCTCCTAACGGCTGATGGGTTATGAAATACTTTTCTACATTTTATTGTTATGTTGGAGACACACATATGTCGAGGTGACATTGTGTACTTGCGTCTTGTCGCAAACAGCGGTTATGCAATGACACGTACACAAAAATATACTTTAAAGTCTACAAACTCGACGCATTAATGTGTTCACCGCACAGAAAGCAGTAACAAAGTCTGCAGCGTGCGTGACATCACGCGCAGATGGCGTTAATGACGTCATACCGCACGCGGTTCGCAATAACATCGACAATGACACGCGACACCGCTGCGATGACGTCACTACCGAAGAAGGGCCGGCCCCCCCGCCTGTCAAAGATAAACCACGCAAGCTGCAGCCCCTATTGGCGCGCAGGCCGTCACGTGGCGTTGTAAACAACCCACCCCCCCCAACCCCGGTGACCAATGAGCGTCGAGAAGGGGTGAGCTGGTGTAAACACTGCCGTGTTGGTTGCGCCCCCCACCCCACTCAGCCCCTTCCCCCGCTCAGCCCCCCAACAACAACAACAATCACCCCAACAACAATCACCCCAACAACAACAAACACCCTCCCCCCCGGCCGCACCAACAACAGTAACCGCCGCCACTTGCCAACCGAGTGGCGGTGACGTCACCACGGCGCTCGTGCCAGGCTGCGCGCGCGTCTAGGCCGACGCTGGAAGTTGTCGAACGCCCCGCTGGCCAAGGAGGCCGCGAGGAACAGACTCAGCAGGTGCCAAGGGGTCGGCCCGACTTGAGATGAGTGCAACCGATGCAACCATCGGTGGGCCCCCTTTACCGTAACTCCACCCCCTCGCCACCACGACCGAGCCTCGCGTCTTTCGCCTCAACGCGACCCGCGCGCCGAGTTAAAAAAAGAAAAAGCAAGAGGCGCGACCGCCGCTCACCATTTGCACCCGGCTCGAGCGAGGTATTGTCGACGACGACGACGCGCTCGCCACGCGGCGCTCAGCACAGTTCACGGTCGGTGAAGCGAACGACGCAGCGAGCATCGCTCCGTGCCCTGCGAACCGCGGCCATGGCTGAGACGTAACTGCGGGGCCCCGCCCCCTCCCCCTCTCTCTCCCCGTGCACCGCACGAAGGGGAGGGGGGGGCCCGCCCGCCCACATTACGAGCTAGACCACGCCCACTGAAGCAAAGCCACGCCTATTTTATGGCCTTGGTGCCTCCCCATTGATTGGTCCATCGTCTTCTTTCGTAAGGCCGTGTTGTAGATGCAGAGGCAACAACGAATGTTACATTGAGGTCGGGTTCAAGTTTTTCAAGTTTCATTTATTAGGTGTAGGCCTGTGAGCCATGCGGCTCTTGAGTCGGGTGCAACCGCAACAAACAAAATGTGAACAGAGAAAACTTCTTAAAGCGACGACGCGCAAACAGAAACATCCTGGATAAACCAGCAAATCTTCCAGAACAGGTCCCTGCAGGGTGGGCTGGTAGGAACATTGGAATTTTGCGCAATTTTATTTTTACACCCCAACAGCACGAGATTTCACTTCTGAAAGGGGACGGACGGACGGACACATTAATCTATTGCAGGCTGGTACACTCAGTTTACAACTTCGTTCCTACCAGTAAAAAACACCGTATTACAACGCTATGTGCAAAAATCCCAGTGTGATGCAAGACAAACTAACAACCATAAGACAATTTATATTCAAGTTATCAGGCCAAGTCCGCACTTCCTCAAGAAACATGGCTTAACCATGTTTTAGAAATCACCAAAATAAAGCTATAAAATCCAATGTAACAACAGTAATCATAGGAACTTTGATTCAAATTTAACAATAAACGATATACATAACATGTACGAACAAACTTGCAGCCATATCTGTCAGCATGACACTCCCCGTGTATGATGTGTGAGTCAGTGGTAGCGTGAGTGAGTGTATGATGTGTGAGTGAGTCAGCGTATGATGAGTGAGTCAGTGTATGATGTGTGAGTGAGTCAATGGTAGTGTATGATGTGAGTCAGTGGTAGTGTGAGTGTATGATGTGTGAATCAGCGTATGATGAGTGAGTCAGTGTATGTGTGAGTGAGTCAATGATAGTGAATGTATGATGTGAGTCAGTGGTAGTGTGGGTGTATGATGTGTGAGTCAGCGTATTATGAGTGAGTGTATGATGAGTGAATCATTGTATGATGAGTGAATGGGTCAGTGGTTGTGTGAGTGTATGATGTGTGAGTGAGTCAGCGTATGATGAGTGAGTCAGTGTATGATGTGTGAGTGAGTCAGTGTATGATGTGTGAGTGAGTCAGTGTATGATGTGTGAGTGAGTCAGCGTATGATGAGTGAGTCAGTGTATGTGTGAGTGAGTCAATGGTAGTGAGTGTATGATGTGAGTCAGTGGTAGTGTGGGTGTATGATGTGTGAGTCAGCGTATTATGAGTGAGTGTATGATGAGTGAATCATTGTATGATGAGTGAATGGGTCAGTGGTTGTGTGAGTGTATGATGTGTGAGTGAGTCAGCGTATGATGAGTGAGTCAGTGTATGATGTGTGAGTGAGTCAGTGTATGATGTGTGAGTGAGTCAGTGCATGATGTGTGAGTGAGTCAGCGTATGATGAGTGAGTCCGTGTATGATGTGTGAGTGAGTCAGTGTATGATGTGTGAGTGAGTCAGTGCATGATGTGTGAGTGAGTCAGCGTATGATGAGTGAGTCCGTGTATGATGTGTGAGTGAGTAAGTGTATGATGTGTGAGTGAGTCAGTGTATGATGTGTGAGTGAGTCAGTGCATGATGTGTGAGTGAGTCAGTGTATGGTGTGTGAGTGAGTCAGCGTATGATGAGTGAGTCAGTGTATGATGTGTGAGTGAGTCAGTGTATGATGTGTGAGTGAGTCAGTGCATGATGTGTGAGTGAGTCAGCGTATGATGAGTGAGTCAGTGTATGATGTGTGAGTGAGTCAGTGTATGATGTGTGAGTATCACGGCCTCCTCCCTGCCATCAAGTCGGATAACCGCACGCGTCAGCAGCGTGGCATCGCTGCGATGTCTCCTTCGTATTTGGGGATCGATTGCCGCAATCGCACATCGGAGAGTTTTATTTTTTCCTTTGTGCATCAGGTATCCGCATCTTGCCGTAGTTTGTAAGGATGCGATGGAGGCTCAAACCCAGAGGACCTTCTGCGTTAGGTATTTCACGTGTGACGAGGGGGGGGGGGGTTGAGAAATGTGACGTCACATCAAAATGCGCAACTTTAAATAAATATAGACAACACGTTCTACTTGATTAAATAGACTTTTTAATAAATGTTTTCTCCTACAACATCAGAGTGCAGCGGCACATTAAATACGCACTGCAATGACAATAGTTTAAAGCGATTTGAAGCAAAACAATATTATATTATATTCTTAGCTCTTTCGGTAAAGTCACGTTGAAGGGAAACAATCAAATATATAAATATATATAAATATATAAAACAAAAATCTATTTTATTATTTTATTGTTTCCCTTCAACGTGACTTTACCGAAAGAGCTAAGAATATGAATTACTGCAGTCACGAAAGCTTTAAATCAAAAACCAAAACAATATTGTTTTATATTTTTATTATTTTATTGTTTCCCTTCTACGTGACTTTACCGAAAGAACCAAGAATATGAATCCCTGCAGTCACGAAAGCTTTAAATCAAGATTTGAAGCATGTTTTATTTTATTTTTTGGGGGGGGGGGGCAAAGCTTTGTGACATCATATTTGAGGGGGGTCTGACTTTTTGTGACGCCGTGTGACGAGGGGGGGGGGTCAAAAATCGTCCAAAATCGCGTGACGTAACCCCCCCTCGTCACACATCGTCACGTGTCTGACCCACCCTCCCCTAGGTGCGTGACGTCATTTATGGACGGCCCCTTGTGTTACGAAAGCCCATTTCCCCTGCATCGGCACCTGTTCTCGGGGTCACCACGTACGGGACACGCCCCTCACACGGCCGGCGCCGCCCCCGGGCCCTGCAGGCCACGCCTCTAACTGCGGCAGGCCACGCCCTCAAACTGCGACAGACCACGCCCTCTAACTGCGACAGGCCACGCCTCTAACTGCGACAAGCCACGCCTTCATGATCGCCTCGCCTCGAGTGGGGGGTGCGGAAGCTCGCCCGATGTGTCTGGAGGGCGCGGTGCAGCACAGATCCAGTGCAGATCTGCATACCAACCTGTCAACCCCTGATCAGTGCCTACCTTATTACAGACCAATTCAGAGCTTATTGGTCACCCCGTGCCCGTTATAAATCTCAACGTGCATCCTACAAAGTCCCATGAAACGGCTGTACGCCGTAAATACCTGAAAACACAATTTCCCTGTACAAGAATACGGGTATAACCGTATGGGTTGACACAGTATGGATCTGTGACGGGCAACAACAAATTCCGTTTACCACTAAGTGGCGGTAACGTCGCCACGGCGTTTGTGTCATGGCTAGGTGCACTTTGAGGTCACGCGAAATGTCGAAGGCTCGTCGCTGGCAGGTCACGGAACAGACCCAGGTGCCATGGGTTGACCGACTGAGATGGCTGGCAGATGCAATCACTGTGTCAACTCGCAGCGTTTTAGCCACCCGGAGCTCCGCTCGTTGTTGTGAGCGTCGCTTCTCTGCAACTCCGTTGTTGCTGGAGGGCGACTTCTACAAACTCCCCAAAGCAGCGTCCTTCACAAACCTCCTCCATCGTCCGTTCTTGATACTGGCGGGCAACCACATCAATGTGCACCGTTGCGGTGTCCACGGGAAGTAGGGCTCACCGTTGCAGGTGAAGCACGCTAAACTTAGAAATACGGTGTTATACAGGTCGAGAACGTTACCCTCGAGGAGCCGATTAGTGCGGCTAAGGTGCTTGCAGTGACACCCGTATGGAGAATAGAGAACAAAAGCTGACGCACCGACTCTGCTCTCTGGCCACTTCGTGTTTGGTTTAACCACGGTTGCTGAGCACAAGCCCAAGACGTCAAACGGGCAGCAACAAACATCACCATTACATAGTAGGTTGTAACAAATTAGATTGGACAGGTTTGTAAATTGAGCAAAGTCATCAGAACTTGGGAAAAGAGGCTATGGGAGAGTCCAAAAGTAGATCAGTGTGAGGGAAGGAGCAGAAAGAGAAACGTTATGACCTGCAGTATGGTGGGTGAACATCGTGGATGAGATGAAACAGTTTGCTCGACCGTGTCCTCAAAATGGAGGAATCAACGAGTAAAGTTTACAGAAACTAACGATTGTATAAGTGATAGCAGTATGATAAGGAGGCAACTGACTGCCAATGAGTGAATGACTCGAGTAAATTGGTGAGTTCTGGACCACCAACCTGATTCTAATCGTTGGAATCTGAACTCAAGGCACCCATGTGTATGATGAATACACTTGCCCATGCGTGTGGTGAACTCACTCGCTAGCCCATGTGCTTCCAGTCCATGAATGGAAGCGTTCATGAAAAAAATCCCAGAAAGTCACCATGGTTGGATGGATAGAAGACTGTTGAGGCGACTAACTTCCGGTACATCCCTTTCTTCAACCACTGGTTGAGGACGTCCTCACGCATTGTGGAGTTGTTACTGCTGGTCGGTGCGGGTTGGTCAAGGCAGGGAAGGAGCTTCGACGTTGAAGAATAGTATAGAAAAACCATAGCCTTTGTTGCACTGTCCAATGGTGACAAAATAACCATGCAGCAGCCTTTTGTGTTAGTGTGGTGGTTGACCAAGCACTATCCAGGCTCATGCCTACACAGCTTCCAAGATCTAACGAGATTGGGTGCATTATGAGTAATTTTGTCAGACTGCTGTGGTTAAGGAGAAATGTCACCCCAACCTAAAATGTATGTGAGCGACACCTCTTGATCTACAATACCAATTATTTCTAAAGGCATACACAATCCCCTTCCATCAATCCAGCACTGGATGTTCCATCAGTATTCTTTCAGACCGTTGAAAGTAGATACAGATTATGAGTCCAAGTTAAACATTTTCAGCAACCATATTATTGAAATGTATGTCACTACGCCCAGGTAAAGGTTAATTTACTTAAGCCCACAGGTGCCCACAATTTTCTCATTCAGCCTAGGTCTATTAAAAATTTGCAGTACAATACTGTATAATTTCATGAAGTTCAACACAATTTACAGATCTCGGAAAAAAATTCTGACACCTGAACATAAATGCCAATTCCAGGACTGTTCATATCACACCAAGACATATGGAAATTCTAGCCTAAAGAATCATAAAATGGATAATGTACAATGCCTTAAATCTTTCTAAGTCGTGCCAGTTAATGTCTGCCAACCTGCTGAGCTTGCAGTATTGGGAATCCACATGAACATGTGGATACAAACATAAAGTGTCCAAACTATACAAGCCAACATAAATTCAGCATGCTTTCGGTCACAGATAACATTTCACAGCCATATGTGATCAAATAAAATACTTGAAGCAAATTATTTTCTTATATGTATTCTGTGAGATCTCAAACAAATAAAAAGTCAAGCTGGAAGTTAAAACTCACACAAGTTCAACTCTTCATGCATGCACTGTACCTATATTTTAATCTATATTGAGGGTTACATTGTTCAACAATTTGAATGTATAATTCAAATACATAATCTTTTGAAGACAAAATTAAAATTTCATCAGATCTTTGTCAGATTTGTGAATCAAGTGTATTTTGGTTCCTTTATTGTAACCATAATGGCTTAAACATGACAACAACACATGCTTGCATTAAAGAGGCAGATCATTGAGTAATAATTTAAATTGTCAATTTAGTAAAAGGCCATTAACTTATCCTGGAAATAGCCAAAATACATTTGTTTCTGTGATATTAATATCTCACTGCACAACTGTGCTTTCTCTGGTCTCTGAAAAAGAAATAAGGGACCTGAACACACACATCTGATTAAGGACATCAATCAATAAAGCAAAGTGAAGGTGCAATTCAAGTTGTACACGACAAAAGTGCACAAAATGCGACATCGCAGTGCATACACAGCAAGAATCTAACATTTTCAAACTGAAAACATTTACCTATGATCAATACATCTACTTCAGTCGAGAAGTTTAAGAGAAACATCTCAGCACCTGACCGTGTTGTGGTGATTATGCCCGACTGTCAGTGACCTGAAAACGGGGTTGATGGATCAGGTAGAGATCACCAGCAGGATTTACATCTTGCCAAAACAGCTGAAACACATCGTCTTTACATTGCTGCTGATGGAGACTGACATTCTTCTCAAAAACATTGAACATCAAGTGAATATATATAGCCTGATGTAAATGAGGCATTGGCAACGTAGCCAACCGTGCTAATCGGAAGTACAGCAGGTAGGATGCTAAACTGCTACCACCAACACCACCACCGCTCTCACCTCCACCACTGCTGCTGCCAACACCATCAGCAGTGCCTCCACCACTACCACCACCTCCATCATCATCACCACCACCACCACCACAACCGCTGCTGCCACTAACACCCACCCCAACACCACCGTCACCACCACCACCACCACCACCGCCGCCGCCACCGCCACCTAATAAATAATTACACCAGCTCCAGCTGCTTCTCGGCGATGCCACGCGGGGACACGAGTGTTGCAGGGATGCGGCCGTTGGCGATGGCGCGGGTGAAGGAGTCACCGAGCGGCTGCGCTCGTTCCGCCGACACGGTCAGTTTGCGGCGCACATCCACACAGCGGCGCTCGAGCCCCAGCGCCAACGCCTTGCTGGCGAGGTCCCTCTCCACGCGCTCCAGGCTGCAGCGCAGGCCCGTGAGCGCGTTGCTGGCAGCGGGGGGAAAGGTTGGGCGACATTGAGGGTAGGGTGCAGAGGTTATGGGAGAGCTCCGTGAGAAACTAAGATCTATATTAACATGCTGTCCGTCGCCAGAATGTCAACGTCACAATGTCCGGATAAAAAGGATTGGCGCGTATACAAATGCATATTTATATTCGAGGCGCAAATTAACATGCGGGCGTGAGCAGTCGCTGCATATGTGTGTAATGAAACCTCGTAATGTGTGTGCATTTTCCTGTATCTAATATTCCACATTTAAATAAATAATCCCCATTGACACTATTTTAAACTCCAGTGCAACAAATCTTCCCCTATATGACATTTTATCCCCATTTAACGAAATATTTAGTTTATTAAACACGTGCATCAATTATATGTCATTAGTGTTACATGCCATTAGTGACGTGTAACCACACTCTTTGCTTTAGATATTTGTAAAAATAAATGATATTGATGAAAGTGTGCGGTTTGCAGTGGTAACTCATGTATGAAGTGACGTCACAGCTACACCGTGCAGTCTGGCTATTTCCAAGTCGGTATTAAAGTGTGTGTCATGTGCTGTGAGACAGTATTGTGTAATGAAGATCTGTTGAGGGAAAATGCCCAACCAATTTTAAATTACCGGTTAGTTGGATAGAAGCGTGTGCACCTCTCTGAATTTTGATACCGATAGTTACTGCTGACTGCTGTGGCTTAAATGGGTAGTGAGTGAATGTAGAGCAGAAAATGTGGTCACGCCAAATGTCTCATAACTTTTCACATCAAAACCAGGGACACGCTGGCAGGGAGCCGCCCCAAAACGTGGCCACAGCAGCACCTCATGCAATGTGCTACTCACTAGGAATCAGACAACTTCTTCTTCAAAGTGGCGATGGTGGCTTCAATTTGATGAACTTCAGTGGTGATGCCATACTGAGGCTGAGGGAAAGAGGCATGTCAGAGCAACAACCATCGCAGCAGACACACAATGCAACATTGTCACAAATGTGGTGAGGCGTGATTATGATGCCAGCTTGGCATTGTGATTATGAAGACACTAGATGACAGTTTGTTAAAGACAGTGACAATCATATCATGGTGAGGATCAAACCAGCATCAGAGGAGAAGCGGTCTCTCACCATGCACAGGTTGATTAGCAGTTAAGAGAGAAGAGAGTGATTCATAATAAAGGTTTTTGGGTTAGATCGCGTTTATTTATAAATGTGTCGTAACCCTCCACCACCCGACACGGCCAATCAGCAAAAAAAGTGTCACGTTGACAAAAGACAAATAATTCACTACTTCAGCCCACCGGTGTGTTGAAGAGTTAATCCACATTTACAGTTTGAGTACGACGTTTCGCTGGTAAATACTTCCAGCATCATCGGGCAATTCGCCAGAATGGTAAAGCCCTCGCTTGCTCCCGGTTTTATATAGAGCAGCAGGGTGACGTCATCACTTAACTCATCAGGTGCAGTGATTAGAGGCGGAGGGGGGGTAATGTAATTATATAATCGATTAGTAATCAGTCATTGGTTATGATTAGTAATGAGTTGTAGATTAGTAATTCTTTAAATCAAAATGTAATGTGTATTATTTAATAATACGCTTCCAGGCCGCACTACGCCGGTAGCTGTCAGAGCGATTAAAGTTATTCTTGTTCCTCTCAATTTCAATGGATTCTCTAATTAGTCTTTGCCAGTAATAATTAGTTTTACACACCACTGCAACATTGTCAAAATCAATTGAGTGTCCTTGTTGACAAGCATGTTCTGCCACTTCCGACAGTTGTGTTTGAGATAATTTAATATTTCTCTGATGTTCTTTTAGTCTTATGCTGATGTTACGTCCCGTCTGCCCAATGTAGCAGCTGCCACATGAACAATTAATCCGATATACACCTTCTGTTGATAGTTTAGGTAATGCGTCTTTAGTTCAAGATACTAGTTTTTGAATTTTGTGTACTGTACCAAATCTTACTGTAATGTTTTGCTTTTGCAAAACGCAGGCTAATTTGTCAGTTACTCCTGAGATATATGGAATTTTTATTGTTTTAACAATCTGGTCGCTTTCAGTAGTATTGCTTTGCGATCGTGATTTGGCATTCAGTGCTCTGTTAATTTGAGCATTATTGTAGCCATTCTGTCGTAGTGCGTCTTTAACGTGTTTAATCTCTCTCACTAGACTCTCACCATCTGACACCGTTTTCGCCCGATGTACGAGCGTCTTGATAAGAGAGGATTTTTGAGCTGGATGATAATGTGATTCTGCATTCAGATAGGCATCAGTGTGCGTTTGCTTTCTGTAAACGCTGTGTGTTATTTTACCGTTTAGGCCATGTCCAAGCAAAATATCTAGGAATGGGAGTGTGTTATTCACCTCCATTTCCATGGTGAACTGGATGGCCGGGTTTTGTGCATTGAGATGATTTAGAAAATCATTAAGTGTATCTTTACCATGTGGCCAGACAACCAAAGTGTCATCCACATACCTAAACCAAAAGGATGGTTTTAATGTGCTCGAGGCAAGTGCTCTTATTTCAAAGTTTTCCATGTACAAATTTGCTATAGCAGGGGATAAAGGAGAACCCATTGCTGCTCCTTCCTTTTGTTTAAAGAAATCCCCTCTCCATAAGAAGTAAGTGTTATTTAAACAATGGCCAGCAAGTTTCGGAATATCTTTTTGTAAACCGGTATTCTTTACTAGTGTATCAAGTAATTTAAGCGATTCGTCCACTGGAACCTTAGTGAATAGAGAAATAACATCAAAACGTCGTACTCAAACTGTAAATGTGGATTAACTCTTCAACACACCGGTGGGCTGAAGTAGTGAATTATTTGTCTTTTGTCAACGTGACACTTTTTTTGCTGATTGGCCGTGTCGGGTGGTGGAGGGTTACGACACATTTATAAATAAACGCGATCTAACCCAAAAACCTTTATTATGAATAATATTGGTCGCGAAAGCCTACGTGTTAAACTGAGAAGAGAGTGATGTCTGTATTTGAACATGATGAACGCACTACATTAACGATAATCACAGAAAGAATTGATTCCTTGAATCAGTTTATCATTAGAAATGTTGACAATTCTATTAAATCACAACTTGGACAAACCAATACACTTTTCCTCCGTAAACAGCAATGGATGTAATAACACTCGCGAAAATGACAACCACGATGATGATGACGAGGAGGAGGGGGGACAATACCTCATCACGGCATAATTCAACCCCAGAGCGGTAAGTGCGCGTCTCCAGGCGCGTGTGTGCCACCTTCAGTGGCAACATCTTAGCACGAACATCTGCTTCCAAGTGTGCGATGTCGCCCTCCAGCACCGAAATCTCCTGCTTGTTCTGAGTGGACAACCGCCAAAGAATAACAACAACAATAACAACGCGATTTACGATACAAGAAAGACTCACCGAGTCTTAAAATTATTTTTCACCAGGGTCCTGCATTGATACGGTATGTTTGGCCAATTCCTTTTTAAAGAGTGCTTTCCAAATGGAAAGAAATGCAGTACCCAAAGAAATCTAACACATACGAGGGGATAGCATGAAATGTTCGAAATAGAGAGGTCATTACAAAGCTTACTTTCTCTATTGCCATCTCTTCTCCACCTCACAGCCCAGTGAGTTTAGGAGCTTCAATATGTAACTAAATGACATCCACACTACTACACTGCTATACCAGATTACAACTATAAAACTATAAACTATTTAATTTTTCCTGGTAAGGCCCACTAAGCTATATAATTATTTTTCAGAAGCGACTCTGCCACAAATGATAACTCAATTAAGTGGCTTATCATGTGGACATTTATAACAGACAAATACTCAGATTAAAGTTTTGGTGAAGAAGTAAAAGGTCCAAGTTGTATACTACAAGCATGGGGTGATTTCCATCTTCATGCATGGCCCTGAGCCAGAGGTGGAAATTCCACTTTCCCATGGGAGCAGCCACTCTTGCTTGAGGATGACCGAAATTGACAATAGTGACCACAGTGGAAACAGAACATCAGCATGGCTCTCATCCCAGCTAGTGTGTGTTTATAAACATGACCAAACATGACCCCACACCTCCGATTAGCACGGTTGGCTACGTATGGTGCGAAAGAAGTTAAACGTACATACATACATACAAAGCTATGATAAGAAAGCAGCGATAGAGAGAAGGCTGAGCGACTCAAGAAGGTAAATTATGTGTCACAGACACAGCCACCACAGCTCAGATCCTGGGTTCAAATGTGGTTTTCAGTCACCTGTGATTTAACGAGGTTCTTAAGTGGAGTGAGATGATGGTCTCATCATTGCACGAAGAGATACAGTATATTACTTATTCTTTGATTTAATTTATCATATTTCAGCTCCAAGAAAACATATAAACATAAATCACGTAAAGAAGCAATGGTAGTGACGGATGTGCTCACTCACGTTCTTCTTCTGCCACTCCAGCTCAGCCTTGACCTTGTCTAGTTCGTGTGAGCGCTTGCGGAACGCAAAGTCCGTGCTGTTCTTCTGCGCCTCCAGCTCATTTGTCGTCTGCACACAATGGACGTTATAACATGAAAGTCAGTGGGGGTCACCGAGCAAAAGACAACAAACGCTCGCTCACACAGACATGCTGCTGCGACGAGCAAGGATCAACGATGCCTCAGAAGTAAGCGTGCTACCGTGCAGTCAGTGCTAGCGTCATTGTTATTGATTAAAATCGATTTATACTCTCTTGGTGATTGTTTCTTTGGAAATTGTGTCAGCAAAATGGTTCTACAAGCCTCGCAATGCCACGAAAGAATCAATTCGTGAATTTAATTTTGATCCCGAGTTGTGTTTAAAAAAAAAATACAAACACGATAATTAAATGCAATGAGTATTAATTAATATGCAAGAGTATAAAGTGGTGACAATAGAACGTTATAACAGACTAGATGAGAGCAGGGCTGTGTGTAGAGGCAGCCTCTTGCCTGGGCGATTGTCGCGGTGATGGCCTCACGCAGCGCAGACGAGGCACGCATCTCCGCCATGGCGCGCTCCACATTCCTACGGCTGAACTCGTCCCACGTCCGCGGAGACGATGACCTGAAGCCCCCGCCCGCGTGCCCCCAAACCAAGCCCCATACCCCCCCCCCCCCCCCAAACAAGCATACACAAGGACATGCATCAGTATGTATTCAAGAAGAGACATGCAGGTGCATAAAGAGTGACAAAAATCCCCCATTTAAGCATGCAAACCGTTGGGGCATGTGGAGATAGGAAGGTGTGGCACAAGAGGGAGGTGTGTGGCGAGGACCACACCTGGCCCCCAGTGCTGGTGTTTACTAAACCACAGTGCTCATTTAAGGAGTTGACCTGGGGGGAGGTCGAGGACTTGTTCAGATATTACTCAGCACTAATAATCGCCTTCACTGCAAATTCAACTGAGCTCACCGGGTGTGGAGTACATTATGCTAACCACATGCTCCACCACTCTTCACGCACACATACATGTGAACGTTCCACAATAAACAACAGCTTTGAGGTGGCCAGGTGCTTCAGGAGACTAATAACATATCTGCTGAGATCAGTCATTGGTGAACAGGCTATCCATTTCCTACTTTTGAGAATCCAACATTATGACAGGTGGTTAAAATCCATGCTTCTAATTTGGATTTTAACCACCTGTCATAATGTTGGATTCTCAAAAGTAGGAAATTGATAGCCTGGTCACCAATGACTGCACACAAAAAATACCAGGTTAAATAAGTTGTATCATTTAATCGGGCTTATTCCAAACACTTGGTCAAATACTCAATCGGAATTAACAGTATATCCCATTCCAGGACACTCGTATTTTTTTAGGTATAATGACTAAGAAAAAGCTGGCTTAATTGGCCCATTACCGCAGGGCAGGTAAATAGGTGCACCACCTGGTGTGGATAAGAGGCAAATGTAGGGAACTCAAAAGTAGTGATGTGATGTGATCTTCCAGAGGCTGTTCCCTAACATGTTACACTGCGTTCAGTGAGAGCTATCAAAGGAAATGTCTTAATTTCATGACATATCAAGAGCACAATTGGAATACAATTTAAATATATGATAATACAAACAGATAAATAGCCGATAACCAAATTAGCTATATTGTGACCAGATCTCAGAAGCTAAGTAAGGTTGAGTCTGGAGAGTGCTTAGATGGGCGACCATCATGCATCAAACAGGTTCTGCAGACTGCTGTAGGGCTGCGTGATGGGTACTGTACTTTCATGCTCCAACATCTTTGCTTGCTTCCTTCACCAACCCAAACTAACCAGCCGAGTGAAATATGGTGAAATACTCCTCACGATCAAGTATGGTCAAATAACTCCCGTGATATTCAGCAGTGGATTTACAAAAAAAGCACTGTATATGTGGACATACATACAAATGCAAAAGTAAATACAGCTCCGTCTCGTGCAACACAACGACAGCTTGCTCGCCAGATGCTCACCCCTTGGGCACGCGCATGGGGTTGGGTTTGAGGGAAATGGTGGCCGAGGCGTTGTTCAGTGCCCGGCACGTGCTGTCGATCTCCAAAGCCTCTTCCTTGTCGCGCACATCCCCTTGCAGCTGTTGCCGAGCCTCCTGCAGCTGACTGTTCCGCACACGAGGTACGACACCAAGCACACAACACACACCACACCGCACTTCCGATTAGCAAGGTTGGCTACGTACGGTGCGAAAGAAGTTCAGCATACATACCACACATTACATGGACCACACGACACACAGTCGCTTAAATCCCCGGTCGGCAGGCGATCGATCCACTGCACGGGAATGCTCCAGTGAGAGCTGCTGGAGCACCTCTCTACAATGTGCAATGAAATTCAAAACAGCAGCATGATGTTAAATGTACGTGTGGTTATCCTATGGAAGTAACGACCCGTCGTGTAGGAATATATAATTTCTGTATGGATGTGAGGGGCAGGTAACCCCTCCACCTTAAATGTAATTACCAACGGGCCACACATACACGCTCACACAGGAGTGCACTAACGTACGGTGGCGAGATGTTAAACACCTCGCCTGGTATATAGGAGGTCGTGGGTTCGATTCCAACCCATAACGCGTTATATTTTTGTACTTTGCATGTACCTCTCCCTGCGGTCGCGTTGATTTTTCTCCGGGTCCTCCGGTTTTTCCCTCCACATTTATAATCAATATGCGTTTAGAGTATTTGGCTGCTATATATTTCTACGTGACGATAAATCACTTTGTTGCGCTATCATTTGTGGCCAAGTCGCTTCTGAAAAAGAGCTATATATCTCTGCGGGCTTAAGCTGGTAAAATTAAAATGGTTTAGTTTGGTACTTCACCCCAGCTGATGAAAGGGTTGATGACACACACACACACACAAAGACACAGATATATAGAGACACACATGCACACACACACACAGGTGCGTGCTAATGCACTCACCACAGCTGCAGGAAGGCATTGTTGATGCTTCGCGTGAGCGCCTCCTTGGCTCTCTCGATGGCCTTGACCTCGCGGTGCAGCTCGTCCTCCACGGGGTCGTGCACAAGGTCGACGCCGCGACGCGCGTCGCGCAGGAACAGGCACTCCGTCGCCACCTGCAGCGGCACCGCCTTCGCCTGCAGTGCTCGCTCCGCATCATCCTTGGTCTACACGGGAGAACGTCGTAATGAGGAGCAGGGGGAGAAGAGAATCGGCATCAGAAGTTTATTTCGCCGAGTAAAGGCCCATTTGGCTATGAAGCTCTTTTTCAAAGGCGCTCCGACTGGCAGGCAAAATCAAAAGAGGGATGAGGAGGACTTTGAAAAGGACCAGGACAGATGGAGAGGGGATTGACTATCATAATAATTATACCTTTCATTTACCCAGGGGAGCATGAATAAGTTTCAAGACTTAATTAGACCTCTTTTGCCAGTACCAAAATATAATAGGGTTTTTCCCCTTTTTTCTGGCAACAAAACTAAAACCTTTTTACAAGGATTCATATCTGCATTAATCACAATATCTGCAGTCAAAATGGAAACAAATAACATACTATGATAATATATGCATTGTCCTTGAAACTGATTGGTCCACACCAAGGGACGGCTTTCTTTTGAGCCTCGACCCAATTGGTGCTCGACCAGATGATGCCAAAAGGCGTTGGGTCGAGGCTCAAAAGAAAGCCGTCCCTTGGTGTGGACCAATCAGTTTCAAGGACAATGCATATATTATCATAGTATGTTTTTTTTTTGCATTTTGACTGCAGGTATTGTGGTTAATACAGACATGAATCCTCGTAAAAAGGTTTCAGTTTTGTTGCCAGAAAAAAGGGGAAAAACCCTATTATTAAGTTTCAAGACTCTTTTTAAGGAGGGTCATACACGAGAATGTGTTTAATTTCATCAGTGAGTACAAATGTTTACAAAAATATTACCACTCTCACTATTAACACTTAATGGGCTCATGTTTCTGGCCTTTTTCAGAGCACCAGGGCACCACTAGAATCTCCCTTAATGTTTTGATCCATGTGGTAGGAAAGCAGAGCACGTGGAGAAGCCCCACCACATATGATAACAACCAAAGGTCTGCACAGATTGATTCAAATAACCATTACTCCTGGCGACCTTTCATAGTCCCAAGCCCACAACACCTGCTATTTTTCCAGGCAGTCAACCATCCAAGTACTAAGCAGGACAAAGCATTGTTAGCTTCTGTGATCCACCAAGATCAGGCACTTTTAGGGTGATTTGGGTCATAAAGAAGGGACAAGGAAGAGAATGGTCAAGTTGCTGATTTCTTAATGAATAGCATTTCCTGTCTATGAAACACGAGAGCCACAACAGCAACGAAACAAGGCGTAAGGAATTAATGAAAAATGCACAATGATAAATGTCTGTACCTCATTCCATAGTCCCTGTATTTAGATTTCGTATTCACGCCACACGAGATTCTGCGTCTCATTGGGCTCTTACGTGTTAATATAAAGTCTCAATAACAGAACAATGTTGAAATTTAAAAAAAGACTGGAAACAACAGAAGAAGTTTCCTGAATTTAACTGAATGCATTGTAGTGCAGAACTAGAGGTGAAGGCAGCAGCCCTTTTCCTGCAGTAGCTGGAGCCTGGCCGTTGGCAGGGCTTGCCTTGGCGAGGGCATTGATCTCGGCGTCGGTGTCATCCAGGGTGTGCTGCAGCCGCTCCACCCAGCGCTGCACCGAGCTCATGCGCTCCTCCAGCCTCGTGTTGCTGTCATGTTGGTCCCATTTGGTCTGCACACAGACGCCAAGTCGCATCCATTAGACTCAACAATTCTTTCATAACAACAACTCAAAGCGGTGCTGTGAGCACTCGACTCACAAATGGAAGGCTGCAAGTTCAAATCCAGATGGGCAGGTGGCTCAGAGGGCAGAGCACTGTGCTCACATATTCTGAATTCAAATCCAGCTAACCACCCATGATTGAACTTGGTTCTCATCCTTCCAGGGTTGATAAATTGAGTACCACTAGGTGGGAAATGGCTATAGGTCTCCCTTGTACAATAACCGGAAAACGGTTAAATGGGATAATCAGTGTAACAAATAAAATGTATTCAAACTTTGGAGAATGTAGAATTTAAAACACAAGCTTATGGGCCACTAACATTGCTCATTTGAACAGGTATACAATTTCCCATACCAGAATTGCCTTGTTATTTCCAATGCTTTCAACCTTATTTTTACATTGCGTTATATAATATAGAACATACTGTAGAGGGCACACTATTGTACAACTAGCATTATACGTTGCATGCACCATTGTGCTGGACTGTGCTGAAAGAGCAGCATGGTGTTGGCTTTTACTTTTGCCTAACGCAATTGTAAACCCAGTAGTATATGTTAAATTTCACACACACTGTTGATAATAAGCAACGACAAACCGGTCAATACTTTGCCTGCTTAAAAAATGCGCCTGGAAACCATGAAGGATTAAATTATTGTTTAACAGTATTTAACGTTTGTGTTAATGGGAGAAAAGACCCTTGTCAGATTACATATCAATATATTATTCAGTGGCCAGTAGTGGCATGAGAAGCAAGTGAATATTTAAATGTTTATGTAGATGTCATTAGGGGGCGTCCATAAATGACGTCACGCACCTGGGGGGGGGTGAGACATTTGTGACGATGTTTGACGAGGGGGGGGGGGGGTTTGACAAATGTGACGTCACATCAAAATGCGCAACTTTAAATAAATATAGAATTATATTGTTGGTTCTTTCGGTAAAGTCACATAGAGGGGAACAATAAAATAATAAAAATATAAAAAAATATTAAAACATTTTCATGTTTTTTATATTTTTATTATTCACGAAAGCTTTAAATAAAAAACTATTTGATTATTTAAATTTACGAAGGTCACCATTTATTTATTCCATGAAGGAACATTTTGCTTTCCCATGGGAGAATGAAGAAGCATACCTTTTGAACATTTTTTTAATGATTGTTATTAAACATTTTGAATCTAATTATTTTACCAGGGCTTTTCATTCTGTGGAATGAATATGATTGTTATCATTGTACTCTCCATTTTGCTTCGTTTTACTACAAAGCTTAAAGTATTTTTTATAGTTATAATTACCTTTAATATTTGATAATTAGAAGATAATTTCAATATAATATTCTGAACATCTGCAGTTTTAGTTAGACGTTGAATATTTTCAAGTTAATTTTATGCTAAATTTAAGCTTTCCAACGCCTCCCTTTTAATACGTGTTTTCTCCTACAACATCAGAGTGCAGTGCCACATTAAATACGCACTACAATGACAATAGTTTAAAGCAATTTGAAGCATGTTTCATTTGTGGGGGGGGGGGGCAGAGCTTTGTGACATCATATTTGAGGGGGGGTCTGACTTTTTGTGACGCCGTGTGATGAGGGGGGGGGGTCAAAAATCGTCCCAAATCGCGTGACGTTATTTATGGACGGCCCCTTATGTCTTTGTCTATGAATGTATCAATTGACTCCCTGCACACACATGCCACTGAAACGTTCCATCTCAAAAGTATTATCCAGGTGAATATCATAATAAATAAAATAAAAATGAGACAATAGGAGAGGTAGACCTTTTAATGATAATACCAATGAAAGCCCAGAGAAACCCCATTGCAGGACATGGGTAGAACATCCACACAAAAAATCCACGCAGAAAGGTACCCGAGTCGGGAATCAAACCCCAGTACCTTCCTGCTTTGAGGCGCACGTGTAACCACCCCCACCTCTCTCTGCCTACCAAAACAACCATTATTCATTAAAGCCGAGGTCTTCAGGAGCGGGGTAGCACCTGATTGTTGCTCTGGTCGCGGAGGTGCCGAGCCTCCTGACGGACGGAGCGGGAAACGTCGCGCCGAGACTGGGCGCCGGACGAGACGCGCTCGCCGTTGTCGTGCCACTCGCCCACCGTGAACCGGCGACCCGGCTTCACGCTCACGCCCAGCATCGTGTGGCGCGGCAGGCTGCTTCAACCACACGGTTCTCCCACAAGCTGGCGCTGGGGAAGAGAGAAGGGAAGCGTCTCGCGGTCAGCCAGCGATGCCAGCAGCCCCATTTGAGTGCGCCACGAGCAGAGTCGTGATGTGCAGCTGCGTGTGTTTTTTTTATGGATATAATGTCATTCCAACTGGCATTACGGGACCTTTCTTGCTAGTATCAAAATATAACAATAAGTAATGTTAGTGCTATTGTAGCTGCTCACCCCGAGCTATAAAACCTATTATTATTTATTGATACTGGCAAGGGAGGTCCCATGATGTAGCTGCTCAGCCCGAGCTCTCAGTGCCCTCAAAGTGCATTGTCTTTGTGCTGTTTTTCGTTCTCTGGTCTGACACTTTGAGATTAGGCTCAAAAGAAAGCTGTCTCTGGTGTGGGCCAATCAGTTTAAAAGACAATGCATATATTAGCAGAGGATGTTTTTTTGTTAGTTGGTTCATGCAGACAGGATTCCTTGAAAGAGGATTCTGTTTGTTCTTTTAACATCTTAACACCTAAATTTAGATTTAAAGCTTTCGTGACTGCAGGGATTAATATTCTTGGTTCTTTCGGTAAAGTCACGTAGAAGGGAAACAATAAAATAATAATAAAATATTTCATTTATTAAAATAATAAAAAATATTTTATCATTGTAAGCACAATTCTACATCACACACATACTTATAATTGCCACTTACATGTATACACAAAGACTAAGAACCCCCCCGGTGTAACCTCGACAGACTGTAGGGGGCAAATGCTTTTAGCGAGCACCTATAAAGGCCGGCACAGCACACGAGGGGGTGGGTGGCCAACGCCACGCGTATACTCGTTACCACAATCGCCGCACACATGCCCATCACAACAATTATCACACGAGATACCTTAACCACAATTAGCGATACCAATACCCCGCCATTCGATACTCAGTAAGTGACGTCACCACGACGCTTGTGCCAGGCCATGTGCACCTTGAGGCCGCGTGAAGTGTCGAACGCCCGCGATTATTACCACATACACGCACAATGTACACACACTCGCGTCCACGATTACCATTTAGCGCACACACCCTCATCGCCACAATCAGCACGAACATTACCGCAATTGGCTAACGCGAGACAAGTGTTTACTGTATTTAGACAACTTGTGCATTATCCATCACGAGTCATTATCGCAATACACACACACACAAACGTATTGTCACCAGTTACCACACACACCCGTATCAATTACTACACACACACACAAACAGCAAATCCGTAAGTTTCAAGTAACATTTTTTTTTACATACAATCAAGTTACGTGTAATTTCAAATTAAACGGCAATTACCCGTGAGTTAATTCACCTTCACGCTATCTGCGTATGCATGTATAAAGCTTTAAATAAAAAAAATGTATAAAGCTTTATACGCTCAGCTCCGTGTGGTCTACAACATTTACCGTTACCACGGTTGCTGGCAATGTTTCCCGCGAGACGAACACGCTCACCCCTCAGCGGTGAAGAAATGTCGAACGTTGCTCTTGTTAGCTTTGAGGAGTGGTGTTTGCCGCCGCCGCCGCTGTAGTTTACCGAATTTTAAAAAATAAATGTTTATAACACTTAATAATTGTACCGCCGCCGCCCCCTCAACCCCTATAGCGAGGTCGCCCCGAGTCTCGCCTCTGGGGCCTTCACGCGTCCCACAAGCTTGGGGGGGTTGGGGGAGGAGGGGGGGTTGCCTAGCAACCGAGTCACGTGGCGCCGCCTCGACCAATCGCGTGGCGCTTCATGAGCGCGTTTGTCGCCATGGAGACGCCGCGGTGTTGGCGACGCGCGTTCGATCAAACACTCAATTCGCGAATTAACAAAAAACTAAAACTAAAATCAATAATAGCGAGGTTTACTTTTTTTTTTGGGGGGGGGGAGGTTCGGAGGGTTGGGTTAGATCACGTAAATATACATGTGTCTCGAGTTTAAGCTTTCGTGACTGCGGGGATTCATATTCTTGTTTCTTACGTGACTTTACCGAAAGAACCAAGAATGTTCACGTGTCGTTACACCACCCGCCACCACGCAAAGCCGACACAAAATCCGTAAGGAGGGGTTTGTCACGTAAACAAAACGTGCCAATTCATTACTAGCACAGCACACCGCTGTGTCGGAGGGTATAAAACCCACCACGACATTTACAATTATAGCACGACGTTTCGCCAGTAATTACAACCGGCATCGTCAAGGGTTGTGGTGGCGGGTGTAACGACACATTTATATTTTACGCGATCTAACCCAAACAAAACTGGTCGCGAAAGCCTATGTCTTTAAAAAATATATATTAAACTATTTATTTTATTTGAGCGACACGGTTCTTTTTCTGAAGCTACCTGGCCACAAATGATGGCTCAACGGAGCGGGCTCATCATGATGTGGAAATGTATAACAGCCAAAAAAACTCTAATTAACTATTTTTTTTCAATGTGGAGGAGAAAACACCCGGAGGGCCCAGAGAAAAATCCACGAGGGCGAGTCGAGGGTCAATGCGGAATTCCTTCACCGAATGAACGGGCGCCCGTCATGGGAATGTAGAATTTCCAAGACTGGCTCTTGGGCCAGCCGCCCCAAAGCTTTATTTTTTTTTTATTTACCTCGAATTAGGATCCACATTGAATAGAAAGGGTCCGTTTGGCAATACACAGAATGTATATTTAGACTGGAGGAATACGATTAACTATGGAGTTATTTTTCACAGATCTCCAATAGATGGGTCAGCAAGTTACAACAACATCTGGTAGTTCACCAGCTTTGGTTTAGGTAGGGTGGGTGGACTGCTGATGAGAGACTGAATGTCGAAATTAGTCCGGAGCTATGCTATAGTTGAACCAATGATTCAAGCAAGACCGACTCTGCTGATGAGACAGTGTCGAAAATAGTCCAGAGTTTTGCCCGAATTTAACTCAAGGTTGGAGCAAGACTGACGCCACATGCCTCTCTTAGCATTTAACATGTAGGCTTTCGTGAACAATATCATCCATAATTACTGGCGAAACGTCGTGCTCAAGATTGTAAATGTTGTGGCTTTATTCTCCAACTCACCGGTGTGCTGTACTAGTAACGAATTGGCATGTTCTGTTAACGTGACAACCCTTACTAATTGGCTGTTTGGTTGTGGCGGGTTTTAACGACACATTTAAATATTTACGTGATCTAACCCAAAAAACTTGTATTATGGACTCTCTACCAACTTTTGTACGTTGACTTGCTTGACGTGCAGGCGCATTTAGATGTGAAATTCACACTAATTGTAACCGGAAAGACCCATGCAGTTGATGGAAGCTTGCAGACAGCGGATTAGACGGGGTAAAAAAAAATTATGGCCTTTTGGAATACGTCCATCATCGGCCATGATCAATTCAAGCCATGATTTATCCACTTGCTGCATGACGTTTTTGGCAAGCCCACTTACTTTTCTTCACGGTCCAATTGGTGTCTGCTAATGTTCCCAAATCTTCTTCGTCTCCTGTGCAATTCCGAACACGGGCCTTTCCATTCTTCTTTGCGGACTCTTCAATGCTTCTTTGCACACGTTTCGGTTTGCTCCATATTCTTCCCTCGTGAATGCTCATGTGCGTGATCCATGGGAACGCTTCCGAAATGTAATTCGCTTTGAATTTTTTAACTGACTGCCGGGCTGGATAGCGAAAAAAGGCTTGCACACAGCAGATTGTGAGAAATACCTGAAGAGCTTCGGTAGGTAGACCTAAACAGCCACACTCCGATTCAACATTTTCCTCAATGTTAAAACGAATTAATGTGTAGCGACATTTTCAGCCGCATCGAGACTCCACACAACGACAAAACACGAGGCGGTGTCTCAAAAAGTGAAGCAATGTGTTTTATTAAACAGTCGATAATTCCACGTATACATGGTATAGTACCTGCCGGTTACAGCGTCGTAGGCAATCGATCACAGGCTCCAAGCCATGTGGCTGGAATCCAACCTTGGCTTAAGGGCGCACGACTCCGGGCTACACAGGGGCCTGACTTGGCAGCCGGTGAGCAGCCCCGTGGTGCTCTCGTTACATATACTGGAGATATAGAAAACAATTAAACCAGCATGTCTCTTTTCTGTGGGAGCAGGTGAGGTTTCAGTTTCAGTTTTATTTATTTTGGTATAGCCCTGTGAGCCATTCGGCTCTTGAATCGGGTGCAACCACAACAAACAAAAACACAAAAAACAAGAAAAATATATTATAGTGATTATGTGACTGTGCAAACAGAAAATCCGTGAAAAAAACAGCAAAATATTCCTGAAAAAAGCACCGTACACCAACGTTGTGTGCAAAAAATCCCAGTGGGATGCAAGTCAAACAACAACCACAAGAAAACTTAGATTAAGGCCATCAGTCTAACTCCGTACTACAACAAAACAAACATGTCCAAACCAAAACACGTTTTCGAATTCACCAAAAAATAAAGCCATAATTGCAACGTAACAGTGATCACAGGGACTGTGACCGAATATTTACAATAAACTACATAAATAACATGTAACACCAAATCCTAGAGCCATAGCTGGCTGCATGAGTTACTCCACAACAACAGAAGCATTAGTCGAAATATCAAATTTTTCAATGCACCTTTAAGATCAGCACGCTAAATCAAAATACAGATAATACTTTGCAGCGTCATACGGAGCGAAACATTTTATTTTAAAAAAATAATTTGAACAGTGAGAGACAGAATAACAACAAAAAAATCCAGAAAACCCCATGTCAAAAATGTTATAAATTGATTTGCATTTTAATTAGGGAAATAAGTATTTGACTCCTCTGCAAAACATGACTTAGTACATGGTGACAAAACCCTTGTTGGCAATCACAGAGGTCAGACGTTTCTTGTAGTTGACCACCAGGTTTGCACACATCTCAGGAGGGATTTTGTCCCACTCCTCTTTGCAGATCTTCTCCAAGTCATTAAGATTTCGAGGCTGACGTTTGGCCACTCGAACCTTCAGCTCCCTCCACAGATTTTCTATGGGATTAAGGTGTGGAGACTGGCTAGGCCACTCCAGGACCTTAATGTGCTTCTTCTTGAGCCACTCCTTTGTTGCCTTGGCCGTGTGTTTTGGGTCATTGTCATGCTGGAATACCCATCCACGACCCATTTTCAATGCCATGGCTGAGGGAAGGAGGTTCTAACTCAAGATTTGATGGTACATGGCCCCGTCCATCGTCCCTTTGATGCGGTGAAGTTGTCCTGTTCCCTTAGCAGAAAAACACCCCCAAAGCATAATGTTTCCACCTCCATGTTTGACGGTGGGGATGGTGTTCTTGGGGTCATAGGCAGCATTCCTCCTCCTCCAAACACCTCGAGTTGAGTTGATGCCAAAGAGGTCCATTTTGGTCTCATCTGACCACAACACTTTCACCCAGTTGTCCTCTGAATCATTCAGATGTTCATTGGCAAACTTCAGACGGGCATGTATATGTGCTTTCTTGAGCAGGGGGACCTTGCGGGCGCTGCAGGATTTCAGTCCTTCACGGCGTAGTGTGTTACCAATTGTTTATTTGGTGACTATGGTCTCAGCTGCCTTGAGATCATTGAAAAGATCCTCCCGTGTAGTTCTGGGCTGATTCCTCACCGTTCTCATGATCATTGCAACTCCACGAGGTGAGATCTTGCATGGAGCCCCAGGCCGAAGGAGATTGACAGTTCTTTTGTGTTTCTTCCATTTGCGAATAATCGCACCAACTGCTGTCACCTTCTCACCAAGCTGCTTGGAAATGGTCTTGTAGCCCATTCCAGCCTTGTGTAGGTCTACAATCTTGTTCCTGACATCCTTGGAGAGCTCTTTGGTCTTGGCCACGGTGGAGAGTTTGGAATATGATTGCTTCTGTGGACAGGTGTCTTTTATACAGGTAACAAGCTATTAGAAGCACTTCCTTTAAGAGTGTGCTCCTAATCTCAGCTCGTTTCCTGTATAAAAGACACCTGGGAGCCAGAAATATTTCTGATTGAGAGGGGGTCAAATACTTATTTCCCTCATTAAAATGCAAATCAATTTATAACATTTTTGACATGCGTTTTTCTGAATTTTGTTGTTGTTATTCTCTCACTGTTCAAATAAACCTACCATTAAAATTATAGACTGATCATTTCTTATTGTCAGTGGGCAAACGTACAAAATCAGCAGGGGATCAAATACTTTTTTCCCTCCCTGTACCACCTTGGTTTTGGAGGTATTCAGGACTAGTTTAAGAGAAACTAGCTGATGTTGTAGTTTGTTGAAATCACCATGTAGCTTAGCAATCACGTCATCCAGAGAGCGGCCAGCAGTAATCAGTATCGTGTCATCTGTAAAAATATTTACCCTGGAATGATCCAGGTCAGTGCCCAAGTCATTGACATAAAGAGAGAACAAAAGGGGGGCAATGATGGGACCCTGTGGAACCCCTTTTGTTATCTTAACACTGTTTGACCTCCAATCATCTGTGAATACAGTTTGGGTGCGAGAAAAGAGGTAATTTTGTAACCATTTTACTGCGTTTTCGGAAAAACCGAGGCAACTTAGTTTACTAAGCAGGGTGTTGTGGTCTATTGTATCAAAAGCTTTGGGCAGGTCTAGAAAAATCAGAAAGGGTTTTATTCGCCATGAAGACAGGCACAGTACTGCTTATTATCAAGGCTACTGTAAATGTGATTCAGAGAGTCTAATGCAGCAGATGTGGTGCTGTATTTT